GTGTCGAGATGCAAGACCCTGATAGCTTCCTGGTGGTGCAATGTCCAAACACAAGGGTTTCCTGGAACTTGGGTTTTCTAGAGCAGACAAATGCTCAAATAATTGGACAAATTACTGGTTTACAAACCAACCTAAGTTTTCAGAAGGAAAAGTATCTTGTTTCACAAAGAAATATGGCTGAAGACTTGGGGGTTAGGGAGGACTTTCTTGAGATAGTGACTCTAGAACTGAGAACTGAAGGATGGGGAGTTAATTTGGCCACAAGGAGGAGAGGAAAAGGCTACAGGTAGAGAGACAACTGAGCCTGGTGTCCCTTTGAGGGAGAGAAACGGTTGAATTTTGGAGTAAATACAGATATCCAGGGAGGCTGGAGCTTAGACAGAGACAGAAAGAATATTAACAGTTGAAGACAGGAAAGTACCCACACTGAAGATTCATATTTAAATACTCCTTAAAATATTCAACATTCATTGACTTAATATGCAGGAGGCATTGCTTTTAAGTGATGCACATAAATTACTTCATTTATTCTTTACAACTGCTACAAATTAGATACTATTGTTTTCCTCATTTGGGGAAGAAAAAAATCTTAGGTGCAGAAAAATAGGATATTGTCTAAAATCTAGAGGTAGGAAGGTTAAGTGCTAGGAATTGAACCCAGGTGAAGGGGCTCTGAGTGGGTACTTTTATCTACTTTATAATTTCCTCATAATTAAAATAATAATATTTTATTTTGATTAAGTGCTTTCTCCATACCAGATATCTTTCCAAGTTTGAAAATATATTAATGTCTTTACTGAATAAAAATCTATTGGCAACCTGTTGTTCCAGGCACTGATGATTTGGTGGTAAACAAAACACAAAACAGACACCATATTGTCCTCGCAAAGCTTATATTTTAAGGAGTGGAGGGGTTTAGGGAGGAAGGGGGAAAGTGCTGGGGAGTGATATTGTGTGCATATCTGAGTATCTAACAATAAGTTCCATCAGGATGTGCAACTATAGGGCACCAATACAAATGTGGGAAGAAAAACAATAAAATAATACAAAAAAGCAAAAATAAATAAATAAATAAGTAAATGTACATTTCTGATGGTGACTAACGCCAAGCAACAAAGGGCCCTGCAGTGCCAGCACGGACATGGAAAGGTCTATTTGGCACAATGTGCTTGGAGTAGACCTCAGTTATGAGATGATGTTTGCGCGGAGACCTGAAAGGAGAGAGGAAGCAAAACACGTGACTATCTTCAAGGAGAGCGTCCCTGGCAGAAGGTACAGCAAGCCAAGACCCTTGAAGCGGAATGTGCCTGGCATGCTCCATAAATACGCATGGGCACACAGTAACTGGCTCCGAGTGGAGAGGGAGGGGGATGGTAAGATGTGAAGCCAGAGAACATCAAGATAAACCATGTAGGTCCTGGAGGCTATCACAGGACCGTGGCTAGCACTCTGAGAGGGGAAGCCATTGAAAGGGTCAGGACAGAAGAATCACATATGTGGTGCATCTGGAAGAGGCACAGAGAACACATGGCGAGGGACCAAGAGTAAAACTGTGAGATAAGTGAAGAGGTGATTTCAATAAACTAGGGTAGAGATGAAGGTGTCTTGGATCAGCACAGTAGAAGTTAAGTGTGGGAGGTGGTGAGAACCTTGATGTCATTTCAGGAGAGAAGCAACTAGATATGCTGACGAGGGTGCTGCCAACTGTCAGGAAAAGAAGGGATCAAGGATGATTCCTGAATAACCAAGTATGGAGTTGAAATATCCCAGATAGGAAAGTCTGTGAAAATACCAGGTTTGGAGGATGAGAGCAGGGTTCAGACTTTGTGCTTGTGTTTGAGATCTTGACTAGACCTTCAAGTGAAGAGGTTCTAAGTCTGAAATTCAGAGAACAGGTGAGATGGAGAATTTGGAGGTCATCATTTTATACATGAATGTCTAAAGCCAAAAGATGGGAAGACAACCACCTCCTTTGGTGAGAGAGAAAAGTTTCAAGACTTGAGCCCTGGGAATCTGGAGCATTTAGACACTGTTATGAGGAGGCAGGAAATAAGCATGGAAGAGAGGCACTGCCTACAAGGAGCTAAGCTCTTTCCAAAAGATAGAAATGGGCTAGGAGACGTGGAGCTCACCTGTAATCTCAGCTAATTAGGAGGCTGAGGTAGGAGAATCACAAATTCCAGGCCAGCCAAGGAGAATCAGTGAGATATAAAATAAAATAAAGTAAAGTAAAATAAAATAAAGGGCTGGGTACACAGCTCAGTGGCAGAGCACTTGCCTCAGATGTGCACAGCCCTGGGCTCAAACCGCAGCACCTCAAACACAAAGAAAAAAAGATACAAATATCAATTCTGTCAAATCCTGCTAAAAGGTAAAGTGAGTGAGTATTGAGAATGGACCACCAAATTTTGCATGGCTCAGATCACTGGTAACATCCACAAGATCTGATTTGTTGAGTAAGATAAACTGTTTGACAGGGACTGGAGACCAACTGTGGGATCATTCATTGAGAAGTTTAATAACTGTCTAAGCCAAGAATGGGTAATAGCTGGGTAAAAGGGAGAGTGACATTAAAAAATAAATAAATAATTTTATTAAAGGATAGAAAAATGATCACAGTGATGTATGCATATATTAATTGAAATACTTTGAGTCAGGGAATAACCATTGATTTTGGGGTGGAGGAAGGAATGGAAGTGAATACTTTAGTGGTGCATATACCTTCAAATAAGGGATGGCACATCCATAGAAAACAGGAGGCACACAGACCATCAGGGCACAGGTATTGATTGACAGCAAGGTGGAGATGGTAATGGAGAAAGTGAGAGCTCTTCTGATGGCTTGTTTCTCAGTGAACGAGCAAGGCAACTAGATAAGAGCAAAGAAGAGAAGATTTAGAGATTTGAGGACAGAAGAAAGAGTGTAAAATAGCCAAGTGAAAGAGTGGACAGTGAATAAACCAGGAAATAGAAGATTGCTTGTCGCACAGATTAATTTACTTCTCATATCAGCCCCATGAGATAAATATTATTATGCCCATTTTATAAAGGAGAGAACAGAAGTATAGAAATATTTCACGTCTTGCCTGAAACCTCAAACTTAGTGACATACAATACAGCTTTGGGAACTTTAAAGTCTACTGGGTCTTTCTGCTAGCATCAATGAAAAACTATTGAAGCATTTTTTACCAGGGACTTGACATAATCAAGTTGGTCATTTGAGAAGATCTCACTTGCTAGACTTTGGCCCAAGAGAGTCCATGGTAACTTAGACTAAGACAAAGACAGAAAAGGTAGAGAGAAGGAGATGGGATCTTTTTTGTAGGTCAAATAAACATTCTTAGTGATGGAAGGATTGTGAGAGGTACAAAGATGGTAATGACTTTGAGAATTGTCATGATAAATGAATGGGGGATCAGTATCTGAGACAGAGATTCAGTGTGTGGGGGGGTAGAACTTTAAGTCCTGCTCATGTGGAGCTTGTGTCTCCCAAATGAAAAAGTTGAATAGAAAGTTGGCTGTGAAGGTTTGTTGTTTAGATGGCTAGAAACATAAAATCTGAGACATAGAGCAGAAAGACAACCAAACCACATCTGAACATGAGATGGTTTTGGAATGAGCATAATTAGAGGAAAGAAGGTATAGGATAATCCTGGAGGAACTCCAAAACTTAAAGGATAGATAGAATGGGTATGTTTACTAGTTGCCAGAAAACTAGGAAAAAGTTAAGAAGTCTGTCACGTCAAAGGAGCAAAATAGAATATTTTAAGGGGTAGTATAAGGACAAGTATGATGAGAAACTAAAATGCCCATTGGATATAGACATGATATATCCACTAGAGACATTAAGCCATTCATTCAGATAATAATACAGGTAGATGCCATCCTGAAATGTATCAGCATGAGTTGGATATAAGAAAAGTGCCTCAAGTAGGGCACGGTGGTGCAAACTATAACCCCAGCAGTTTGGGAGGCTGAGGCAGGAGGATCATGAGTTAAAGCCAGCCTCCACAAAAATGAGGGGCTAAGCAACTCAGTGAGACCCTGTCTGTAAATAAAATACAAAATAGGGCTGGAGATGTGGCTCAGTGGTCGGGTGCCCTTGAGTTCAATCCCAGTACTGCCTCTACCAAAAAAAAGTGCCTCAAACAGTCCTGGTAAGACATAATATCAAGATTGAGAATTAAGGGTAAGATTTTTCCAAAAGGGGAGTTTCAAGCTTGTTTAAATCTCAAAAGGACACCTGCAGTTGGCATGGATTGCTTCAGTTGGTGGGAATACTAGGGAGACATTGCGAGGTGCAGGAGGGACAGAATCCTAAATGCAGACCAAGGGCTGGTACTGGCAGGGGAAGATCTCCTCTAATACCTCAGGGAAGCCAGACCTTATAAAGAGCTTCACCCCAGTCCTTTGTACACTTGGCTATCTGTATATTCTTTTTTGTATTAATTTGAAACCACGCTATATTAAAAGGCAATCCACACCTTTTGTTAGATATTTTGCATTCACGTCTAGAGTTTCTGTCTTTTATGTGATTTATGACATATATAATTTTCAATGTTTTTATCTTATTTAGTAAATGTCCCCTTATGGCTTTTACCTGTGGTCATCAACATGGCCGGGACTTCACCTTCTTCAACCAAACTAGATATCATCCCTTCAATATTTTTTTTTTCTAAAACATTCCTGATCTTTTCACTTTTGAAGTTTTAGTAGATCAAGAATCATATTCTGTTAGGCATGAAGTAGGAATCTATGCCAAGCCACCTCCACCCCCACCTCAGGGGTTCTTTAATTAGCACACGCTGTCCAGCCCTCAGGTTTTGGCCTCAAGCATTCTAGCAAGTTGTGCAACTTGGTCAGGAACACTTCCTTGTGCCAGATCAAAACTGCCCATCTAGCTGTTAGGCTCTGCATCCTTGCGGTGGACCAAGGACAAGGAGCAGGGCACGGCTCTTCTCAGGTGCCGGCGGTGCCCCTCTTCCACCAGGACCGTTCAGAATGCTCCCCAGGTCTATATTTTTGATGATTTTACTCACTTCTCAGGTCAAAGGTATGTCTTTTTTTGTCAGGGTTTTCTGGTTGTACTATGAGGCAATATCTCTTTAGCCACAAAGTTTAAATTGTAAATAATAAGAACATTAGCTATGCACAGGTGATTTTGCTGAGAACCGTTAGTGTAGGGCTTGGACTAGGTTATGGCTAATCCTGAGGTTTGATGATTCTATGAAATTCCATATCACTCTTAAGCACTCTGACCCATAGTGGACATTCACCAAATACCTACAATAGTGCAGGACTGTGCTAGCCATTAGTCACATTGTACATTAGAATGTTTAAATTCAATAATATCATCTCCACTTTACAGATAAGGGACATGCGAGTAGTGTTTACAAATCAGAGAGCTACTCATAATCACACAGCTGTTAAACTGGTAAAAACTTGATTTGAATCAGAGCATGTTCCAAAACGTGCATGCCCTCTCCTCTTTATAGCTCTTTAAGGTCCCAGGTCACCTCACAGGTGACCATCAATGTGATAGGACCTGAGTAGAGAAGATTGTGTTTATCCTGACGTGGGGCTACCTACAGTTCACTAGCAAGTGAAAGCCTTACCCTTCACTGTGGGAGTTAAGACCTCAAATGTCAATGTTTCTGAAAGACAAAAATTTGGTAATTTACAAAGCAACAGGACCTTCCAGTTCAGACTTTGACAGGAGGCAGAACCAGAGACAGGTCTGAGGAGACAAAGATGGCCAGTACAGAACAGGGTGAAACTATGGAGGAAGATGAGGGACATTTATGTCTTTGACCCCTTTCCAATTTTACTTATATTTTCCTAGTTTGTAAATATCCATCTCAATGTTGTTGTGTATAAAATGAGAAAAATGCACATTCAGTCTCTGTGTGGATGAATGTTAATATCAGCTGGATTTCCCCCCTCATGTTTTTGTTTTTGTTTTTGCTTTTTTCCTGAAAAAGTGATCCCTGGAGCAGATCTGTACCAACTGGTCCATGTGAAACGGCTTTCTCTGATGCAGAAGCGAGACCTTGACTATGCCCATGATCACCATGATGTGCCGGTAGGTATGAGTGTCATTCAGTAAATACAGTTTATTGCTTTCACAGGAATACGGAAAGCTTCCTCTGGGTCCAGCCAGAAGCAAATAGAAAGAGAGGAGTCTCAGTTCTTGGGAGGACTCCCATTCAGCTTAGAGCCTGTGCTCAGGGGTGCACAACCCCTCAATGGGCTAGGAAACAAACATCAGGTTTTAGGGGGCGCCATTAAGCGAGGTGTTCCAGCCACACTTCTCCAAGTTGGTCTAGAGCCACCTCACTTGTTCTGAGCTGGTGCCCATGGAATGTCATCCTGAGAATTTATTTTGTTTTCCCTGAGACCTAGCATGCAGGTTTATTTGCCGTACAGCCAATATATTCTGAAGCAGAATTGGACCATTTTCTTAGGAACAAAAAGTCCTTCTTGGCCTGTACTTAGAAGGATGTTTGTGCAAGTCTTGAACTTTAAAAATATTTAAAATATTATTGTCAAAAGAAATGAATATTTATCATGGAAAATGGATAATAAAAGGGAGCAAGATTCACAATTAGTTTATTTTCAATCCCATTGTTATGAAAGGTCTTAGATGAATGTTCTTGATGTGTATCATTAAACACTTGCAGTTTGCATTTTAGGTTTTAAATTTGGTGCATGGAAAATATGGACAGGCATTTCACTCCAACAACTATCCCAAGGCAAGGAATTGTTTCTCTCTACCACTGCAGCAGCCTGTTTCCCAGGCTCTCACTTATTAGAGTTCTCAGTCAAAGGAAGATATTTTTCAACTTTCCAAACGGTCCTATTGATACCTCTGTCTCAGGGCTTGAGACAAAAAGTAACTCTCCTTCCAATCTCATTTGGTAAATGATGTCTATTTTTCTCCAATAATTATCTTTATAAATAATTTTTCTCTTGATTTCCAACTCCTTTTTCACCTTCCCATCATTTGTACTGGTCAAAGGCTGGTATCCAATCAAGGATGCACAACCAGTTTTCTACCACAGTGGGCTCTCCTGGAAGCTATTATCTTAAGCCTTCAATATTAATATTAAAATTTCCATTATTAATATATAGCCTGAATACAGGTGGGAAAGATTCAAGATGAGCCTGGAGCATTTTGTAGTACTAGAAAGTGCCCAAACAAATAAACAACCCCCTTTTCCCCCAAAAAAACCACACAAAGCTCCAAACTCACATTGATGAACTCAGGAAATCACTTAAAAAACTCTCAAGGGCCAAAGCTAGGATAATTTGAACAAATAAATAACATGGCCTTGTACTATAACCTGAAGAATAGACTAAGATCCGTGAGCCCAAACAGACATAAATAAATCAATGTGGAAGAATAGGCAAATCTCTCATCTACAAGAATTAAATAATTTATGTAGACATTTCTGTTTCCAGGAGGTGGAGCATGAGTCCCCACCCCTTACGTATGGGCTGGGCTGTGCATTATGATTTCCTTACAAAGAGTACAGTATGGAGGGAAAGAAAAGAGTAACTTCACAGAGGGGAGAGGTAGCAAATGCCACCTCAGCCCGGTGATGAAGGCCAACCTCATGAATGCAAAGTCCTCCTCATAGCAAGGACTCTGGATGTGACAAAATGGCACCTTCTCTTGTGGCTTTCACCCTCATATCCATAACTACAGTCTAACCATAAGGGAAAAAAACATCAAAAAATTGAGAGGCATTCTACAAAGTATCTGTTGAGTATACCTCAAAACTGTCAGTCATTGAAAATTAGGAAAATCTGAGGGTTGAGGAGGCTGAGGAGACATGACAAATAAACAATGTGGTGCCTGGAAAGGGATTCTGGAAGAGCAAAATGTCATTATGCAAAAACTAAGTGTGGATTTAAAATAATAATAACACATCAATCCTGATTCATCAGTTGTAACAGAAATACCACAGTAATGTAGGATGTTAACAGTAGGGAAGACTTAGTGCAGCATGTATCTAAGTATGAGGTAATGTCTTCCCAAGTATTTATAAGTCTCAAAAAAAAAAAAAAAACCTAAAATGAAAATCCCATTAATTTCTTAATTAATAAAATTTCACACTCAAATATTCAAATGATACAAAAAGCCCCACTGTCCCATCGTTATGCTCACACACGCGCATATATGTTGAAATATGTGACTGGACCCTTCTAGATGGAGCACATTGCTTCTTGCCTGCCTGCCTGTGAATTCCATGTCTTTATTATAAGTCCTATTTTTTTTTTTTGGTTAAACTTGCAATCAAAAAAGTCTGAACTGTGTACACCTCACTTCCAACAAATACAAAACTAAGGCCCCCCACACCTCAGAGCTGTCCCTCATCAGATCCTCACCTGGTCAGGACAGAGTTAAACAGATAGAATACCCCAAACCCTGGGCTCCTTCTTGACTCCTCTAAGGTTTGCCTACCCTGACAATCAATGACTGGTGCATCTGGAGTCTAGCAGGTGCATATCTTTGAGGTTACTTACTCCTCTTTAATCCCCTGCCATGGCACATGCTCTGCACAAGCCGCCTTCCAGGGGCTTCCCCTCCTCAGTGCTGATTTCTCAGACCCAGTGTCTGAAATTCCATGCTGGCCTTTGCTTGTCTGCTCTTAGGAGAAGTCTCAGGCCTTCACCTCTGTGGGCTGTTCTTGCTTATCTTCTTCCTGTATCTCTCCCTCCCACTTGTGCTAAACGTGTCCTTGATTCTCTAGCAACCTTGAACTTCTCCCTCCATGTTCCTCCAATCAGCCGGGTTCCTTCCTACCTCAGGACCTTCACAGATGCTGTTTCTTGCCTGTGGTGCTGGAATACTGCTGTGGTTCTCCTGTTATGATGTTAATCACACCTGATTCTGTGGCTATCTGGTCACCTTCTTTGCCAATCTAGAGCTTCTGTGAGGCCAGCGGCCTCACTCTGTCTTCATTATTATCACTGTAGTTGAAGCTGCAACTGTCAAATAAATGGACATTGAGCTCAAAGAAATTTGTACAATGAAGACCAACAACTTAAATTATGAAAAAAATTATTATCAATCATAAGAAAATAAAATACTACCAAAGAAGATGGTAAATGGACATGAAGCAGAAATTCATATTTAAAAAAAACTACAAATAATGAAAGACACAAAAGAAAATTACCAATGCCAATGCTATCAAACAGAACATCACAAGTTATAATGTATAAAAAAATTATTAGTAGTAATATCCATGACTGGAAAGTTATTTGCAGCACTCATATCTATTACTGGTATGTTAAGCAATCAACATACCAGTAATAGATATGACTGCTACAAATAATCACATGAAACCAGTATTAATTTTTGGTGAAGTTCTACATTTAGATTTCTTTTCTTTAGGATATTTATCAGTATTTATCAAAAGCCCTACATTTTTTCCAAGTTGTCAACAATGCAACTCTAAGTACAGTGAACATCCCAAAACAAATTTCTGATAATTGATACAGATTAAATAAATGATGTATGATGTTTCACTCACATTTTTTTTTGGGGGGGGAAGCCTTAAAACACACTCTTGCAAGAGAACATTTGTAAGGGAATGGTCATGATTTCTTAATTGAAAATGGAAACTATAAAACAGCATATACAAAACTGCTAAAAACAAAACCAGAAAACAGAAGATCTGTGTGTTTTGGAGGCATGCTGTATGGACATACAGGAATTTGTGTATGGCTGGATGAGGGGAGAATATTTATTGTGTTTTATTATTATTTCATTTCTAGAGAAAAATGTCCTTTGAAAATTTTAATTAAGAATAACTTGGGTGAAATCTTCCTTCTAATACTAGTTCTCTTTAAGACAAGCACGCCCAGTGTTTGCTCCCTGTAAGGACGGCTAGGAACTGGGGATCGGTGACCACTCCTACCCCACACCACCCACTAGCAGCAGGCTCCTGACCAGCTTGTGTGGAAGTCACATGACAGATCTTGTTTTTTCAGGAAGCCTATGAAGAAGAATTGTTGTATGAAATAAAAGTCAATAGAAAAACCTTAATCCTTCACCTTCTAAGATCAAGGTAAGTTCTAGTGTGATTCCATCACTTATAGATTTTGCCATCTCTGATATCCCAGTTTTTCTAAAACTGCCAGTAAAGTCAATTCTTCAAGTCACTGTTATCTCTGTATTATGTGAATTCTTCCTCTTCAGATATAAAGTCATTGCCTCTCAACAACTTAGAGACAGCTATCGACAGGCTTGTGTGGTTTCTAAGTAACTCTTTGGGGCACTTGGAGTTCCTGAGCTTCATATAGACACTTTAGGAAAAGAGTTGACACGTTAGTGCTTTTTGAATCAGTAGAACAAAAGAATTTTGAAACCCATGGTTTTGAAATTGACTTCTACGTTGTTTAAAATAGATATAGAACTAAGTGTTTTGGAGAGTAAGCTAAGAACTGGGAAGAATTTGCTTCATCCTGATATCTTATATAGTTGAACCAACCCCGAAATCTCTTCTTGAGTCCTTCCCTTTGCTGTTAATTTTCACAGTTTTTCTCGGAACCCTTCCTACATGGGATAGCTGTATCTCAGAGACCCAAACTATAAAAGCACAGGTTGTTTTCGATTGTTCAGTCACTTGTAATGATGCCACTATTAGAGAATGGAGACTCAGGTCTGTTAGCTAAAACAAACAAACAAAAAATACAGAAAAACGTCCTTCCCATCCCTAAATCTCCCACTAGACAAACATGCAGAAAATGCAAGCCTAATAGCATGATCATATTGATAATATTTTCAGATTGCATGTTCTCCACATGAAGGGAGCTAATATTTATTAAGTGGTTTCTGTGTATTTTTATTAAAGTTATTTCTTGAGTCTTACAATATCTATATGAAGTAAGTACATTAAAACAATAGCTTATCATATATATAGCATTGAATCCCACTATTAGGTATTATTATAACACACCAATAAAAATATAGAAAAATAATAGCTTACCCAGGGTCACAATGAAGGGGGCTTTATGTTTCTGATTAAAATTTAGAGTCACGTTATCAATTGACTGAAGGTCATTCAGATTCTCTATTTCCCTTTGTGTCAGTTTTAAACTAAAACTTTCATGGAAATATGGGTTTTGCCTAAGTTACCACACTTTAGGCATGATGTTTCATAATATTCTCTTGCTCTTTTTTAATGTCTATAGTATCTTCAGTGATAATCTTCTTTTTTTCTGATTTCAATAATTTGAGTGTTTTTTCCTCCAAGAGAGTTTATCAATTATTGAAAGTGTTAAATATTAAGTAATTAATATGACATTACTTTATAGATATGCCATTGATGTGAACTATTAAGAAGTTTGTTCCAGGTGTTTTGTTTGCATTCATCTAAACATCAATACTGGGATTTACACTGATTGATTGTACCTATGCTTGCATTCCTGAGATAAAATCTTATTTGCCTATTATTCATTATTTTAAATTATATTGTGGTATTCAACTTACAACTTGTTCATGGTGTTTGAAACTGTGTTGAAGTTGACATTAGATGACATTGGTCATATAAAATTAGTAGGAGCCCAGGACTGTGGAGCTTGCCTGTAATTCCAGTGGCTCGGTGGGCTGAATCAGAAGAATCCCAGATCTGATGTCAACCTGGGCAAATTAGGATACCCTCTCTCAAAAAAAAAAAAAAAAAATTTTTTTTTTTTTTTTTTTTTTTAAAAAAGAGAGCTGGGGATGTGGCTTTGACCAGTAAAGCACCCCAGGGTTTAACCCACAGTTTAATCTACTCATTTTAATAAATAAAATGAGTTGGGTAGTGTTCTCTTATCTTACATTTTCTAAAGATATTATTCTTTTAAAATGTTTGATAGTATTCACAAGTTTTTAATTTTGTTACCTGATATTATGTGTAGACTTCCTATGTTTACTATTTACATAATACACTATTTTTCATTCACTTTTCACTATGCTTTTGTCTTTACATTTAAAATGTGCATTTTGTAAGATGGCAGTTAGTTGGCTCTTGATATTTAATGAATTCTGTCAAAAACCTCTGATTTTTTAATTGGGATGTTTAGTCCATTCATGCTGCATGTTGTCATTGGTAGGGCTGGATTTTAAGTTTTGTTTGTTTGTTTTGCTAATATTTGATCATGGTCTGGAGGCCGCTCATCACATGGTTGCCTTTATCGCTTAGGGTTTTAGAGTGAATCATCCTCACATTCTCTCTGCTCTCATTTTTAGGGAGTTCCTGTCCTCAAATTACAGTGAGACCTTCTACACCTTGAAAAAAAAAATGCTCGTCCATCATCCTCTAATCACGGTAGCTTACAGAATCTTTCCGTGTCACTTTTCTGAAACTAATATTTCCTGATGTGATTCCGAAACTCAATTCAAGCCTTACCAATTTCTCCAAAAGGCGCCATGTCAGCACCAAACCCTGAATTGATTCATCTCACCGAATGAGACCTGAATAGAAAACAGGCACCTTTCTCTAACAAATGATCCCCATAATGTGTCTCTTTAATCAGCTGACTTTTCTAGAGTCAATATTGTGCTAAGCCTGGAGGAAGGGCAAAGCAGGACCCCAAAGAAGACTAGAGCATCCTGGTGGGATCTACTTAAGCTAGTGATGGTGGTTTCTTCTTATTTTAACCACTATTTAACCACTATTATTCTAGTGGATATAGATTATAGTTTTTACTTCACTCCCCTTCCAGAACATACCGTCTGCCACCCTCTAGCCAAGAACAATATAAGTCCTTCTTACCAAAATTATGCGTTAAAAAACTTATTTCCTCTATTTAAAGCAAATGCCAACCTCTGGGGGATCTCAGTCATCATATCGTCTTAAGACACAGAACCAGAGGAAAACTTGGTGACGTCCCTTTATGCAGGGGCTGGTGGCCATCCTGTGAGGGTGTGAGGTCCCCAGAAGGCCTCTGTCATCTACAGGCAGGAGCTGAACCATGGAAATAATGGGAAGAGTAGCACCGGACAGGCTCACCATGAGCAAACCACCATGAGGAGTTGGGGGCTGCCAGCAGGATTGAAGCAGAGAGGCCGGAAAGAAGGGCATGAGGGGGACTTGGAGGAAGGCAGGGTCTTCTTACAGGAAGCATCAAGAGCTTGGCTTCATTTCATAGGCAGCTGGGGAAATTGCGATATGAACACAAGAGGGTCAGCATGGCAAAGATTTTAGGATGAATTGAGGGAATGATATTTATATAGAAAAGGTTTGCATATCTGAAACTGGTGTCATCACCTAGTAGACTATGAAATGTGTGATGAAAGAATCCATACTTGGTTTTACACAAAGTAATGATGTGATTCAGGTACAAGATCTCTAAAGCAGACTCAAATGTTTCCAAGTGAGAGAGTGTAGTTCAGAAAGCACAGGAAAATGTGGAACCCAGGAATGAAATACTAACGTGTCTGAAAGGAAAATAATGAGATGGTAATATTTACACAATATTGATATTCATACTTACATTAATACACTCTTCTACGTTAGGAGCACTGCTTTTACCAAGGATCCATTATACATGAATTTGATTCTGCAGCCAGCATCAGCACGTGTAAAGGTCTAAGGTAAGGCAGAGTATCTTCCTCTTTCTTTCTCCGTGCCACACACCCCCCCCTTTTTTTTTTTTTTTTGGTTTCTTTTGGTTCTAGGGATTGAACCTAGCAGTGCTCTATCCCTGAGCTACACCCCCAACCTTTTTATTTTTTATTTTGAGACTGGGTCTCATTAAGTTGCTACAGGGCTCACTAAGTTGCTCAGGCTGGACCCAAACTTGTGATCCTCCTGCCTCAGCTTCCCAAGTCACTACAGGCATGCACCACCCCTCACAGCTTCCTATTTATTTTATAACTTTTCCTATAAATGTTTGAAGACACCTGTTTTGCTTATTTCTTTTTACTAACTCTCTAAATAGAAAATATAATGGATAAAGGGCTATAGTATAATTTTGGCAGTGAGTGTGAGCTCCTGTGATTTATGTTCATTTTGACAAAAAGATGTCTAACACACACCCTTAGCAAGAAGAGATTTGCAACATATGACCAAAGGATTCAGAGCTGGGGGTGGAGGGTCCTGGAAATCTTTTAGTTTGTGCTCTTATGTTAGAGAACAGGACACTACATCAGAGACTTGCTCCTGAACATTCGCTAAAGTAGAACTGAATCCGAAGTCCAATTCTCTTGAATGCTAGTTCTGAGTCCCCACTATACCATGGCACTTTAGTGAGTTAGCATTTTACTCAATCAGGCTGTGTTTATGATCTCTTTATTTGGGGGCGGTTATTGGGAATTGGGAACTCGAACACTGAGCCACATCCCCAGCCCTATTTTGTATTTTATTTAGAGACAGGGTCTCACTGAGCTGCTTAGCATCTCACTTTTGCTGAGGCTGATTTTGAATTCTTGATCCTTCTGCCTCAGCCTTCCAAGCCTCTGGGATTACAGGTGGGCGCCACCACGCCCAGCTGTCTATGATCTCTAAAGAGTAAAAGGTCAGAGGTAATTCTCTATAGATCTTGGACTCAAGGACAAAGAAAGGTTCAAGGAAAAGAAGGAAGATGAGGGGTCATAGAGGGTAGAACAAGGAGCTTTTCTTTGAGTCATCCCCCATGTTCCAGCCTTTTTAAGAAGGAGAACCCCTTTAGTGACAAAATTTCCCCAAAGTAGTTTTGTATCTTCATATATTTATTCTGCACTTAATGCACAGACAAAAGAATGAACAAAATTTCTGCAAAACCTGAAGCCACCAGGGTGGGAATTATTATTGTACCTAGAAATTGGATTGTCAAACTTCTGAAAATCCATGTCGACTGACTTTTAGAAAATGTTCTTAATTCTACCAAAGCCCACAGGCTATCTTGCTTCTTTACCACCAGAAAACCTGGATCCCTGTTCATGAAGTCTTGACTTTGTAGTTTCCCATTCTTCAAAAGAAAAAGTCAATAAAATAGAATAGGATAGTTATGGATCTTGAATGCATATGGTGTTCCAATTCCCACAGGGGATTCTTCAGAGTTCGTGATCAAAGGTATCTCATTGAACCAGTGAAATACTCAGATGAGGGGGAGCATTTGGTGTTCAAATACAATGCCAAGGGGCCGTATGCTGCCAATTTTACTTGTGCGGAGCTCAATTTTACCAAGAACGCTGCTCCAACGGACACCTCACACAAGGGAAACTACAAGATGGAAGTGAGTGCTGTGTTTAAGTCCTCTTACCCCAGGTGAAACACACCCATTCCCCATGATTCCTGTAGGCTCTGGAGATTGTGAGTCAAGCTAGTGAGCACATCGCAATCTGTTTCATCAGTATCAAGAAAGGGAATGTCTACAGCCCTCTATATCGAAGACAGAAATTTTCAGTGTCTTGAAACTTGTCTTAGATAATGTCTCTCTCCTTGCCTCCCCTGCCACCTGGGGACTGTCAATGACAAGCCCTATTCTCCCTTCCCTCAGGCCAGATGTTCTGATGGTGAAGGATAACTAAGAACAATAACAGGTGGTCTGTTTCTGATGGGATGGCGGCAGAGTCCTTGGGTTTTAGACTTATATATAACTAGTTGGGTAGAAAACTAGTTCTTATCCCCAAAAGAACCAGTTGATATGAACTTGAAAGCTCCATGTTTGTTTATCATCTTCTCAGGTCCAAGGTCCAGTGTCTGAAACTTATTGGATGACTAACAAGTGTCTCCCGATAGAATCACTCAGGGAAGAGACAATTCCTTAGTTCATGAAAGAATGACTGACTTAAATCTCTGAACAAGTCCCTTTCATTTGTCCTCAGAGAACATGCCCACTCCTCATTTACACTGAAATCATAGAAGAACTTCCTGGTATTGGTGTTTTCTAGAAATAAGAGACCTAGATTTAGCAATATTCATCTGTTTCCTTGAAATTGAGACCATGCCAATTAGGAGTTTGGGAGGCAGGAAAAAATTAGGAGGGACATGGTCAGTTCTGTCATTCAGTCTGGTTGGAGCTCTCACTATATATATATATTCATGGGTGCTTCCTACATGAACTTGCTTATGAACCATTTAATCTGTACATGAAAGAAAAAGAAAAGGAACCTTAAGTATTAAACATGGGATTCATGATTATATTATATCTCTTGTCTAACCTTAAAGACTAAACAAAGGGTAGTCAAATATGGAATGTTGCTTCAGGATTATTAGATATACTCATTTAATTCACCTTCCAATGTCAGCAAGATTAATTTTCTTATCTTAAAAATGTTAGCTTTTCAGAAATTCGCTGTTAAGGTTAAAAATGTTAACATACTTCATTGAATTGTTCATCAATTTCCAGAGCGTCCATGAACAAAAGTATATGGAGCTGTTCGTTGTTGCTGATGATTTTGTGGTAAGTTTCTAGAGAACATTTTCGCTTTTCATTCATCCTCATGAAACCGCGGATGTGATGGAGCCCAGAGTAGTGGTGTTCTAATCGGAGTGCTATTCTGGTCTCAAACTTCTGTTTTTAACTTCTTCAAAATACATGCATATAAGAGATGATTTAGGTCTTTTGATATTGCAGGGGACTAATCCAAACTAGAACCCTCCTCCCCACTGTGAACATATGGAGATGCTGAGCAGCATATGAAAAGTTGAAGACTCGTCAACACTCTGTTGACCAAAAGAAAACATTGAATATTTCCAGATACTAAAAATTAAGAAGAAAATCTCCATCAGAAAAGGAAGTAAAACCCAAAGCCTTGATGACCCGTGACATAGAGAATACAGTTGTAATGAGTGAGGAATTAACCTCCTTACAAGCAAAAGTCTGGCCTTTGGAAACGAGTCCTCCACATAATTCTCAGAGCTAGAAGGGGCTGCCCCATCCCTGAAAAAGAAATTAGAAAAGCTCCACTGAAACCGTAAAAGATAAAGGAAGTTTGGTTTGCCCGTAGGCATGGGAAGGGAAAATATCACCCAAGAAAAACCAGAAATTCTAAGCCTGCACCATGCACAGAGAGGGCACATGGTGGTTGGTGATTTTGTTTTGTTTTGTTTTTCTTCAGCTGCAGACATACCACGCAAGGCTTTCAGCATAAAAACTGACTAGATATGTATGTGGTAAACAACTTGAGCTGAAGTAAAAAATGTCCTATAAAGACACTTTAATAATCCAAGACGAAATGAATCCTAGGAGGCAGGGTCAGCCAGCATAGTGAAGAGGAGACTAAGACTACCAAGAACTATCAGTTATCCAGTGATACCTTCAAAGCATTCTTCATCACGAAAGTATAGGTTTACAGTTATCAGAGAATATAGAAAGTGAATAGAATAGAAATTACAAAAAAAAGAATTAGATGAGATGGTAAAAAATGGCCAGCTTCCTTGTAAAACTATTCCACATTGATAAAAGGAAAATGCATATATCCTTGAATGAATGAAACAGCAGATTAGACACAGGTGAAGAGAGAATCAGTACACTGGAGGATGGAGATGACAGGGAAACAACCACTTATTGATCACAGATAAGTACAGTTGAAAACTATGAGAAAATAGGAGACATTAATGCAGAATAAAAGATTGCAGAGAATGAGTATGGGTTACTGGATGACAGACACTCTTTGAGAGGCAATTTTTGAAAATGTTCCAGAAATAAATGGGGCTAAATAAACCAGATAACAATGTAGAAAAATTACAGAATAGTGAGTATGAGGGGGAAACTGTAACAAAATAAACACCTTAAATATTAAATAGAACAAAGAGAGGGAGTTGCACACTATTTAAGCAAAAGAAGAAGACTTAAGTTTTTTTTTTTCTTTATAACAGCTCATGATGGATGAAGCATTTTTATTGAGCTTTTATGAAGCTCCTACTATGAAAGCATGTTGATATGATGTTTTTATTTCCAGTATCGCAGGAATGGTCAACCTCACTATAAACTAAGGAACCGAATTTGGGGAATGGTCAATTTTGTCAACATGGTAAGTTTTGCTGTAGTGTGAGTCAAGCTGAACATACAAAGAACATTCTGGGGTCTATCTCCATTGGATTCTTATAGTAACCTTGATACAGTGGGAGTTCATATCACAAAAATTCATCAAGTAAAATGACTGACAAAAATTTATTGAAAACATTGTAACAACCAATGACAGCTCTGAGATTTTGGTTTTCTACATCAATAACATTTAATATTAAAATAAGTTTTAATATTTATCTCTAACAAAATTGATGAAGCAATGTACAAAAAATTTGAAAGCCAATCACATGTAAACTGAATCTCACGTGTTATATGACCTTGTATGAAAAAAGTTTCTTCAAGCTAAAATGTATTGCCCATGGTTTGGCACAGAAATTATGGGAACTATTTCAGTAAAATCTATTAAGATGACTGCTTTTTGTAGATTTTAATGAATTATAAATCTTAAACAAATTGTGAATTGTACACATCTCTCTTTGCTGCCTCCTTAGACACCCCTGCCCTATTACCAGGATAGTAAAGAACTATGGGAACATGCTGGAAGGAATAGCTAGTGGCTGTTCATTCATCAGTTGAGAAAAACTTAATCTAGTTATCTTATTTGGCTGCTATGAAAACAACTACTGCAGACATTTGAATGCATTGGTGTGGGTGAACACAGAATTTTATGCAGATAACTAAGAGGTGGGAATGCTGGGTTATATGTCACATGTATGCCTCCTTAATTGTTTCCCATGGATTTATATTTTATTTTTAATTTTCATTCAGTTGAAAATGTTTGATGTTCCTTATGGATTCTTTTTGTTTCAGTGCTTATAGCTAGGATGTTGCTTCATTTGCCAATATTTGGGGACTTTTATGGTTTTTGTTACTGATTTCTAATTTTCATTCCATTAGAATTAGAGACTATTTTGTCAATTTCAATTCTTTTACATTTGTTGAGTTGTTTGTTTTTTCTTGACCCAGAATCTGATTGTGTTAGTCAGTTTTTTTTTAACCACTCTGACCAAAATACCTGACAAGAATAATTTAGAGAAGGAAAGATTTATTTGGCTCAGGATTCAAGTTTATACTGCTTGAATTCTCTGAGCTTCTTGGATCTATGATTCAGTGTTTCCTATTATTTTTGAAAGTTCTCTTCAAATACTTCTGCTTTATTCTCTCTCAGCTGGCTCCATGTTGGGGGCCTGAGGTGAGGGAGAACATCATGGCAGAAGAGTATAGTCTAGGAAAGCTGGTCAGCTCATGGTAGCAAGAAGGAGAGAGAGAAAAAAATTAAGAGAAAGCACTCACAAGGGGCCAAGGATTTTGAGGGTTCATCCCCAGAGACCTACTGCTTCCAACTAGGTTCCATCCCCCAGTAGAGTCCATTCAGCTATCAATGAAATAATCCACTTGATGGATTCATCAGAATGGATTAACCCACTGATTAAATGTATTAATCTATTGATGAAGTCAGAGTCTTCATGATCCAAATCCTTCCCAGAGTCCTGCCTCTGGACATTGCTGCACTGGGGACGTCTTCAGCATGAGATTTTGGGAAACATTCCAGATCTAAACCATAACATTGGGTCTAGCATAGTTAATGTTCAAGAGTACTTTAAAAAATATTCTGCCATTGGTGGTTAGAGTTCTCTATAAATACTAGTTATGTCAAGTTGATTGACAGTGTTTGTCAAGTTCTCTCATTTCTCACCCCCACACTCTTGTCTCTGGAAGAAAGTTACCATGCACAGTTCACACTTCAGGAGAGGGGAGTCATGCTTCCTTTCCACGAGAGTAGAGAGTCTATATCAATTACTGGGAATTCCTCACAAAAGGTATTCTCTTTCAACCCATGAAGTTATTTCTTCAATTGTTGTTGTATATCAATAAGGGCCACAGGGCAATACGCTAGTTGATCTGTGTGTCCCTTTGGCATACCACTATCAAAGTGTGTGAGTGTGTGTGTGTGTGTGTGTGTGTGTGTGTGAGAGAGAGAGAGAGAGAGAGAGAGATGGGGGAATGTGTTAGTTTATACTGTTTGAATACTGCTTGAATTCTCTGAGCTTCTTGGATCTATGATTCAGGGTTTCCTATTATTTTTGAAAGTTCTTGACCATGTTCTCTTCAAATACTTCTGCTTTATTCTCTCTCTCTTCTTCTTCTTCTGGTATTTCAGTTATTCATATATTAGAACCTGTGATTTTTCTCTTCTGTTTGTTTCACTTCTTGTCTTTCAATTTGGGTCATTTCTATAGAGTCAATAGAATTCTTTCCTTAATTGTGTCTTGCCTTTTCAAGTGCTTATCAAAGGTATTCTTTATCTTCACTACTATAATTTTTCTATCATTTCTGTTCATTCTTTCTTATAATTTCCACCTCTGTGCTGAAATTCAAATCTGTTCAAGAATGTTTTTCACTTGTTTTTTTTAAATTTCTGAACAACAAATTACTACAAATTTAGCACCATAAAACAACATCCATTTCAACTTTATTTTAGGCCAGTCTAGGTACAACATAACTTGGTTCTCTGCTCACATCTCATAATGCTGAAATCAGGATGGGGAATGGGGGTTCAGCTCACATATGTTGTTGGTGGAGTTTAACTTGCTCAGTTGTAGAATTGAAGTCCCCACATCTCATGCAAGTGTCACCTGGGCTGAACTTGTTTATAGAGACCCTGGTCATTCCTTGCTGCCCAGTGCTTCCATGGACCCTTTCACAGTGTGGCAGCTTCTTTAAGCCAGTGAGGGAATCTCTGCTGCTTCAAGTTGGTGGTCTTTTATAAAGGATTAAGTCAGGTACACCCACAGAAACCCTCTTTGGTTTAATTGCACTGATTTGGGAATTCAAACTACATCTGCAAAATCCTTTTACCTTTGTCATATTATAGCCTGATCATAGTAGTGAAATATTCACAGTCCCACCGACATTTAAGGTACTGGGGTGTTTGTGTCAGAAGACAGAGTTCTGTCAACTCTTTGCTCTTGAACAGTGGGTGGGATTTCCTCACCTTCTAGTGTGTTCCATTGGATAGTGGGCACTATGTGAAGATGGGTAAAAATAAGGAAATAGTCTTTACACCTATTCATGATGCACTTCTTCTTCACAAGGTCCTTCACTGTTCAGTGGAATCCATCTTGTTAGAAATCCTTTTGTTGCTACTCTTAATTGCAGTGCACCAACATTTCAAATCCCACTGGCTCACCTTGTGCTTAGCCTGGGGCCGGGGTTGTTGGTAAGTGTTCGTCCATGTTCTTGCTCCAAGTTCACTTTGCACATTGGTGGCCAGTACCCAGATCCCTCCTCAGGCTCTCGTCTATTCTCCAGTGGTGATCTGTTGATCAATACTTGATGCTGTAAGCCTGGGTGCGGCCTCAGAGCATTCTCTTATCCTGTTCTTTTTCACCCTTAGAAAAGCACTGTGCAAGGGTCACTGGGTGGGCAGTTCTAATGACCATTCTTGGAGACCTCAGCTGGGCTCAGGACATTTCCTGCCTCTCCTCCAAGGGCAGAAGGTTTTTCTATTTACCCTTTCTTCAGTCACATCAGCCTTCGTCCTTCATTCTAGGCATAAAAAAAAAAAATTGCTGTGGTTTCCTCAAAGCTTAAGGCTTTTGCTCCTTGGGAGAAAGAGTCTGATAGATTTGGTTGAATTTTGCAAAGTAGCAGCTGCTGGTAGCCTTCAGGCCTCTTCCGCTGAGGGTGTCTCCATTCTCCCTCCTGGTCCTCTCTCTTTTTTAAAAAAATCTAAATTAATTAATTAATCAATTTTAATTAGGTACATATGACAGCAGAATGCATTTTGACCCATTGTACACGATTGCAGCACAACTTTTCACTTCTCTGGTTGTACATGATGTAGCGTGGCATCCGATGTGCAGTCACACATGTACCTAGGCTAATGATGTCCATCTCATTCCACCATCTTTCCTGCCCCCATGGCCCCTCCCCAACTCCTCCTCCCCTTTGTCCCATCAAAGTTCCTCAATTTTTTCCATGCCCCCCCCCCATTATGAATCAGCATCCACTTATCAGAGAGAACATTCAGCCTTTGGTTTTTGGGGATTGGCTTACTTCACTTAGCATGATATTCTCCAACCCCATCCATTTACCTGTAAATGCCATAATTTCATCCTCTTTTAATGCCGAATAATATTCCATTGTGTATCTATACCACAGTTTCTTGATCCATTCATCCAACAAAGGGCATCTAGATTGGTTCTTTAGTTTAGCTATTGTGAATTGAGCTGCTATCAACATCGATGTGGCTGTGTCCCTGTAGTAGGCTGATTTTAAGTTCTTTGGGTCTAGACCAAGGAGTGGGATAGCTGGGTCGAATGGTGACTCCGTTCCAAGTTTTCTAAGGAACCTCCACACTGCCTTGCAGATTGGTTGCCCCAATTTACAGTCCCATCAGCAGTGTATGAGTGTGACTCCTGTGAGCACCCAGAGGTGGCCTGTGGAGAGTCTGTTCATGGATGTGGAGTCCCTTGCGTCTGTGTCCATATTCTGTCCCCTGCTGGTACCTTAGCAGTTCCATAAAAACGCTTGTGAATTACTCTTACCTGCTCGTAAGGTACTCAGCCTCTTTTTCCCTCCCATTCTGCCATCTGTCCTTGAAGGAGACTGTCTTGCCCTGGATTCCAGCCTAGCTGTAGGCCCTGTTACCTCAGCTCTGTGATGATTTCAAGAAAAATGTACAATTGGTAAGTTCTCAGGGTAGAAGCAACATTCTTTCCGGCATTGTACTTCTCAGGCGGGAGAACTCCTTCCACATCTTAACTGTGGCTATCAATTGAGAATCCTCCCCATGACTTTTTATAATTGGTAGGAATTATCAAGGCTCTGGCACTGACCCCAATTCAAGACTTTAATTCTCTCCTTGGTTTTCTATCTTACAAGTAAGCATACACAGAGAATTATTGCTGAATTCTTATTAAATTTTACATTTTATATATGAGGCGGGGGTGGGGGTCACGTATTATGTTACATATTATGTTTTTAAGCCAGGAGTCTTAAAAGCCCTTGAGCTTTCCTATCATATCACTTCTTTTTTGGGGGGAGGGTGTACCAGGGATTGAACCCAGGGGCAATTAACCACTGAGCCACATCCCCATCCCTTTTTATTTTTTATTTTGTGACAGGATCTTGCTAAGTTGCTTAGGGACTCACTAAATTACTGAGGCTGGCTTTGAACTTGGGATCCTCTTGCTTCAGCCTCCTGAGCCACTGGGGTTACAGGAGGTTACTGGGGTTACATCACCCCGCCCAACTTCCACCATTTCACTTCTGATAATTACATTATCTCATAGGATCTCTCTCATTTTATCTTTCTTCATGCCTTCACCTCTTTTATCTCAGAAGTTCCAAGGTTCTTTCTAGATCATGACGAGTAATTCAACTTTCTAGAACCTTCCAGATATTATTTCAAACCCACCCAAACATCTAAGAGAGAAAACAGGCTTTTGTTGTCTAGGTTCTGTCCTCACCCAACAGGATGCACCTTGGAGGACGAGTGTTTTCCGTCTGCCCTTGCATGCGGTTTTATGACATTAAGCACCCCTGGGAAGGGAAACCCTCCACAAAGCTCAGATTAGAAGATTCCCCCTGTGCAGGATCCAGGTCAAAACATTCATCCCACAGTAAAGAGGAAAATTTGGGAATCACAGGCAGGAGTGTCAAATTTGAGGTCATGACTAGATGTCTAAGCTCATGTGAGTTTAAAAGAAGCCTCATTCTCATGGTTATCATAGGTCATCATGGAGACATGAAATTCAGCGTATTCATATCCTACAGGTTAAGAAAAGTAGAAAATCATGCAGGGTCATTGTCATCATCATGACATGACTCTGAAGTGTTTTAATGACTAGTTCCAGTAACACTGCATGAGTGACCTTTCTATTTCGGTTTTTTATTTACTGTTCCTCATTCATCTTTCAATCTCTCCTTCAACTGGTGCTGTGAACCGGCAGTCCTGGAAGATCAGGCTGATAGAACACTTGTTCCTTTTTCTGAAAAATCTCCATAATAATTGCCTCTCTGTGTCAACTTTTGTCCTGCCATGAGACATCTGTCAGCTAGGTGTTTACAAAGCAGTTTGGAAGAGGGGTGTGAGGGCTCAGGGTTTGTGACTATTTCTGCATGCTTTGAGAAATCCCCAATAAGGTTTCTCAGACAAAAAAGAGGTAGTTATAAAAACCAAGCATGAAGATCAAGCATGTCCCAGCTAAGTTTCTGAATACCAATACCGACATTCAGACCTGCTGCAGAGCCAATCCTGGGCCTAAAGTACAGAAAGAAACAAAGAGTGCTCATACCGCCCTGTGCCACTTGTACTGACCATACGTTTTCAGGAGATGTATACCTTGGAACTTTAATAACCTCTTTCTTCTAGATGCATTTGGAGAACGGTGCCTGTGAGGCTTATGATAGTTCAAGGAAAATCAGACCTTGTTGGTCAAGATTCTTTGTTGAGAATGGAAATTTCCCCAGTATCTTGAACAATCAAATATTCATTCTGTTTCAATATATCAATTTGTAAAATAAGAGTTGACTTATTTTCTTAGGTATCTAACAAGTTTACAATGCTTTTTTTTTAAAGTATAAAGGAATACAGTTGATGAAGGATTCTTGTAGCAATTTGAATATGTGAAAAATGATTTCTTCTTTGAACAGATTTATAAAACCTTGAATATTCATGTAACGTTGGCTGGCATTGAAATGTGGACAGCTGGAGACAAAATAGAAATAGATTCAAACATTGAAACTACCTTAATGCGTTTTTCAATTTGGCAAGAAACAATCCTTAGAAAAAGGGAGAATTTTGATCATGTTCTGTTACTAAGGTATGTGACCCTTCTTTTCCTACCCACCTTAGGTAGATCATTTAAGAAAAAATAATCAACAAAGAAATCTTTTAGATTAATTGACTTTGGGTAAGATGAAGGGAAAAAATACCATTTCTTGCTATATAGAAAATTTCTAAGCAGATTCTTTAATAATCCTTATTTTTGATATTGATCAATACTACAGAAGAAAAATCTGGTATATTTCCTGGACAGAGTTGAAAATATCATTAGGTGAGCAAATTGCTTTGATAATCTGTGTATATTATTTACAAAATTCTAGCATCAACTTCTTCACCCTCTCATGCTTTGCAAACCCAGTATTACATCAAAACATACCCTTCTGGAAAACTCCCTGGTCTCTGGACACTTCTCATCAAAGGGCGGGCATCCAGCCAGTGGCCATTCTGCAAAACCATCTTCTGAACTATATAAATTGACAGACAAATAATCTGATACGTTAAACCAGCCACAGCTTCAATATTTCTAAGTAGAAGTTTGCATTCCTCTAGACTACTCAGTCATAAATTCCCTTTATGACGGAGCCACATTTTGTCATTACTGTTATTCAAAATACCTAGTGTGATACTTATCCCAGAGGGAAATGATAAGGAGTTATGAAATGGAACTTAATGCAACCTTATGTTTAGCATAGTACTGATATACTAAGAAATGTTAAATTGTGAGAAAAATGATTTGAAGTGATGGCATCTTTCAGCACATCTTCGGATGGCCCTACAGTTACAATATTCGAACAGTACCCATTTTATCTTACTTTATCTAACTGTAAAGTCAGTATTTCTCTAAAGTTCTGCAAACAGCCTGCTGATCTTCTTTCTGGTGTTATTCAGATATTAGCTTGCAGGCTGTATTCAGAAACACAAAGCTTCTAGAGCCTACAAGGAGGGGTCAGGTCTAGTTCTTTGGTAGATTGATGGGCATGAGTCAGACCTCCAAGGTAATATCATGCTCGGTGTTCATACTTGGATGGTCCATAGCATATAGATCCAGGGGCATGGCTGTGCCTGGCTTGGGCTTGCATATTCATGCACTATTGTGCCCCAAATTATGAAAGTTGAAAAATAGTAAAATATCACCATAAACTTCATAGTGGGCAAGAGAAGTCCCTTAGCTCCCTGTTTGCACATGTATTTAAAAATAATTAATAAATAAGTCCAGAAATACTTAAATGGCGATAAGCAAGTAAACTTTTACTTTCACAGAATTTCTTGTTTCTCCAGTAGCTTCTCATATCAATAGGAAGTGTGTAGAAGGGGGACTTAGCATGTTGGGTTTCTCGTGTGTCTTCCCTTCTACCTTCTCATAGATTTAGAGGTGGCCAGCCTATGTGGCATTGTCACAGTGTCACTTTTCTCTCAGGGACCATGAGAGAGGTCAGTCTCTATAGGGTCCTTCTGTGGTGCTTCATCTCCATTCATGGAATTCTCCCAAGATCTCCAGAGTTCAGGAAGGCCAGAATTCTAAGGTCCTCCAAGATGCCCAAGTACTGATACTTGGAATGGAGGTGCAGAAGCATTTCATTAGTACAGAAAGAAACGGTGCATCTACTTGACCAAAAAAAATAAAGTCCCCAGGGGGTCACCTCACCTGGCCACATTCCTTGGATTTGATCCTGTGATAGTCTAAGTGTTGTCTTCCAACCCATGGTAGCTCTCTTTAATTTTCCCACTTTAAAAACTGTTCCTAAATAAAATTGAGGCAGAATTCATATAATATACACATCTGACATTATTTCTTAAGCAATTCAGGAATAGAATGCTTTTTTTGGGGGGGGTGGGGACGGGGGTAACCAGGGACTGAACTCAGGGACACTCAGCCACTCAGTGTCCCTGAATTCAATCCCTGGTTACCCCTTTGTATTTTGTATTTTATTTAGAGACAGGGTCTCCGTGAGTTGCTTAGCACCTTGCTGTGGCTGAGGCTGGCTTTGAACTCTTGATCCTCCTGCCTCAGCCTCCCAAGCTGCTGGGATTACAGGCATGCACCACTGTGCCCAGCTAGGAATAGACCTCTTTTTACATGACTGCTCTTCTAAATGTTTGATTATATCTACCAAATCCTTTCTGAGTTTCATGATTGATTGAAAGTTTTAAGATTTTTCAATCACAGCTAATTGTCCAAGGTGCTACGTGAGTTCACCACATTACATTTCTCTCCATGAACTGTTTTAAATTTAACTCATTAATTTATTTTTATTTTTTGTAATTTAAGTGGTTTTGTCCATAACTGAATTCACAGTAGACTAGAGTCAAGAAAGACTCTGACCTTATAGTCTTTTTTATTGAAAATAACCTATTTTTAAAATAACAATTTCAACCTAAAATTGGCTTTTTCAATGCCTCTCATATACCATATGCTTCAAATGAGCTCAGTATCAACTAAGGTCAAATTCAATGCCAGAACTACAGAAATAAGAGGGATCATTCATGTGTAAAGGCCTGAACATTGTGCTGGTTCAGTGCAATTTGCTCTTTGTTTTAATTACAAATTTAGATTGAAGAATGTCTTTGTCTCTTGTTTGCAGTGGGAAGTGGCTCTACACACAGGAGCAAGGAATTTCTTATCCAGAGGGCATGTGCCAGCCCTATTATTCCTGCAGTATCGTGAAGGTGGGCTGTGTTTTATCTATGTTATGTTACCTAATCAAAATGTTCAGATTACATTTCTGTAATGTTCTGTGTCCCCTTGAAAGAGACCACGTGTGCATTTGTCATATATTCCCACCAAGGCATGACATGATGAAACTCATACTTCCTTTATTAAATGAGAAAAGAAATGTTTTATTAAAAGAAAAAAACCTATTAATGAATGATAAGGGTAATTGTCAGATCATAATGAAGTGGAGTTCGTTGTTGAAAGGACCATCATGTGCTGGTTAACATACAGTGATTAGTAAAGCTCGTGAGCATGTTAAATACTATTATTTACAAAGACAGGAAACATTCACAAAACTGGATGGCTGATTCAGCAAGTGAGGATAGTTGATCCTGCATGACAAGGAAGTGCATGGAGCACTTAATGTCATACATGACAGTCTTGCCTTGCACGTTCAGCAGGCACAAGACTTCTGAACAGTGTCTCCCTCGTTTATCTGATCTTTTCCCAAGTCTCAAAGAGTCTAGTCATTGATGTTCACGTGACTTTTTTCCAAGAGATTATCACAAACATGAGGTTTTCGTTTTTTTCCTGCATTCCGTTACCTCCTTATTGCTGTGCCCATCCTGGTCTTCAGACCTCAAACTTCGAAGCTAGTACTTATTAAAAAGACTATATGATGGATTTATATTGTAACGAAGTAATTCGTAACTACATAGTTAATTGTGATGCCTGTAGATTTACAGGCATGTATTGAGTATTACATGAGGCTCTGATGGAGAATGTTACTCTTTCAACTACATTTTTACAAATCCAGGAACATTTAAAATTCCATATGAATAAAATGAGCAAATTTAAGGTGCTCCATTAGCTTTATCATAAAATGATAGCCTAGCTCTCTTGGGAAGTTATTTTTTTCACTAATACAGGGATTAAAACATGAACTAGAACTATGAGCCTAGGTGGCAGATAGTTCTGCCACGTGGAGTCTATATTTCTGACCTTCAGGTTTTCCTTGTAACACAATCTCCATCTGCAATGTTGCATAGCAATTATTGAGCAATGAAAGACTATCAATTAAAAACAAGAACATCACATTTGTTTTTATTTGTATCCTTTTAAAAAATCTGGTATAGAGCAGATGAGCAGTGACATTTAGTTTGTTGTACAGGACACTTGTCGTAGTCCATGCAGGCCGCTGGACATGGCAAACCCCACAAACAGGCTGGCTAATAAACATGGAAATGTATTTCTCACGTTTCTGGAAGATGAGACACCCAAGATCAAGGCACCAGCAGATATGGTGTCCAGTGAGGGTCCACTTTCTGCCTCAGAATTGGCACTTTCTCTCTGTGTTGTCACATGGTGGAAAGGACAAGAGGACCCTCCTGAGCCTCTTTTATAAGGGCACTGATCTCATTTCCGAGGACTCTGCTGCATGACCTAGTCGCCTCCAACCTCTGGGTTGCAGACTTTTTAAAGTATGGGTTTTGGAGGGACACAAGCATTAGGCCATAGTGACATGAGTTAATAGTTTCTAGCTCTTTGCCAGAATAACGGTGTGTAAATCCATTAGTGAATATTACTGTGCCTCCCCACACACACATATAAAAAAAAAGAATGCCAAAATTTAGAGCTAGAGATACTTAAAAAACTCATTTTCCCAACTTTTTTTCATATAATTAAAGAAACTGGGGCAGAGGGGAGGGAGGTAATTAAGTCCAAGATCTCTCAAAGACGTGCTCATTAACTAGTAGCTAGAAATCAGGTTTTCCAACAACCATTTCAAAGTGCTATGTACTATTCAGTGTGCTTTCTGTTGGAAATTTCTAGTGAACGTTTTTTTTTTCCCCATCAGGATCTCTTACCTGACATAAACACAATTGCCAGCAGAATAGCCCATCAGTTGGGGCATAACCTTGGCTTGCAACATGACGAGTTCCCGTGCACCTGTTCCTTGGGAAAATGTGTGATGGATACTAGTGGAAGGTGAGGCTCAAATAATGTAGAGAACACATTTAAATATTTTGAGAGTAGTTTGGGGTTAATTCCATCACTTTAGGAATATATATATATGGCTTTTTGGTGTAATTTTCTGGGAGATCTTTCAAAATCACGCACAGGGAAGAATTTCCCTTTTGAAGTTAAATCTAATCAACTGAGACTCTTTCTAGTGATACACCAGAAAAAAAAGTGACACTTTATTGCATATTGCAAACATATGTGATGGTCAACTGGTACCAATCTCTACCAATGTCTTAGTGGAGAAATAGTTCCACTCACCTTGGTTTGCTTTCCCTGCTAAAAACTAGAGTTTCCTCCTTTACATCTTTCCTTTTGTCATTCTCAGCAAAGCCCTTCCTGGCCAACTGCTTCAACTTTTAGTCCTTCTCCATCACATTCATGGTCTGGCATTTCACGCTCTTCCTTATTGTTTTGTTTAGTTTTTCCTTGGTACTTACCACTGTCTAAGGCATTCTACCCTTTGCATATTTAGCTCATTTTCTAAGTTACTCCTGAAGTAAATCCAGACTCTGTGAAGTCAGAGGTTTTGACTGGTTTGGTCACTGTTTCGTTACTGTTGTCCAGAGAAGTAACAGACACATGTTAGGAGCACCTTAAATAGTTACGGAATGAATGTCTAGCATTCCCTCATTATTCTGTGAATCACTTTGTGGTTAGGTGTTCTAGAACCCCTTCATAGCAGGCATAGTAACGCACAGTGTACAATTTTTAAAAAGCATTAAAATGATCAGCCATTCCATGCATTGGTTAGATGATGTGAAATGGCACAGTGGCGGGCATGGTGCAAGAATTCAGTAACTAATCATCTAATTTTACATCATTATCTGGACATTTAGCAACATTTGCAGGGTCCTGACATCCCCATCTCATGTAATCAAGATTCTAGAAATCCTTCTGTGTTCAATCATTGTGACAATATTACTGTCAAGGAAATCAGAAAAAAAGGAAGATAGAATGGAGGTGAATTTCAGTTATGAAGAGAGTGTGTTAGACTCCAAAGGATGTGTATGATATTTTTAAATAGTTTGTTTCAACAAACATTTAGAGGAAACTACTCTGCACCAGGCTCTGTATTAACTAATGCTTATTTTCTTTTTAATGAATGTGATGTAGCCTTGAGAAATTTCTAATCTTTCAGGGATCTTAACATGAATATACAGTTATTATAAGATTGTTTCAAGGACACATTAGAGGGACTATGGGAGCATCACATACAACCAGTCCAAAGGTGGCTTCAGGTAGGATTTGCTTTGGAGGGAATATATAGCCAAGTACTTTCTTGAAATAACATGTGTTAGCATTGTTTCAAGAGGCATTTTTGGTAATAATGATCCCACTTCCTGCTCTACTCTCAAACTTAACATTTATATGGATTTGTTCTAAATTCTTCATAAAACTTTCACAGGTGCTGTACTACCTGTGAAAGATATGAGATAATAAAAATCTTTATTTTTACCCTACCCTATTTCTAGCATTCCTGCACTAAAATTCAGTAAATGCAACCAGAACGAGTATCAGCAATTCCTGAAGGACCATAACCCAACGTGCATGCTCAATATTCCATTTCCTGGCTCGTCAAATGATTTTCCATCTTGTGGAAACAAGAAGGTGGATGAGGGAGAAGAGTGCGATTGTGGCCCTTTTGAGGTAATTTGCAATTGATGATGACCTGAAATTACCAAGTTTATGCTCAGCTAGAATCTAGATAGGGGTGTAGCCCAATCACATCAACCATCATCTTCCTTGTCCAGCTCTGGACTCTGCCTTTTCCATTTTTCATTTGGATACAAGATGTTTGGGCGCCTCATTTCAAGGGTACTTGGCAGATCATGCATCGTGCATAGTGGTCTTGCTGGAGTACACAGCATTACACTTGTCTGCTTTATGTATTAATTGGCTTGTCTGTGAGAAGGACCCGAAGGTGTATCATCAGGTCTGACCTCGCATGCACAGTAGGACATAATGTCCTACAAGTATCTCACAGAGTCAATCAGGTTTTATTCAGGGCCTTGGGAGGTTCATCTGTATCACAGCTGGACAGCTCCCCTTATTAGGACACTTTCTTAATAGAGCAGAAAACTTCAAACCTTTCATGTTTTATTTCAGTCTGGAGCATTTAGAAAAAGCCTTTGAGCAAATTTTAAAGTAATTCTTAACTGCTTTTTCCCAAGATAGAAACTATTTTCTTCAGAAGCACATCTAATAAGTGCATGTCCTAGACTCAAATTATCAAGTGCATATAAACCACTGCGGGGTGTTGTTAAGGTGTGGAGTCTGGTTTAGCAGGTCTGCAGAGGGTCTGAGCTCTGCAAACTTACTGAGCTGCAAGCTTCTGCCCTTGAGCTGGTCTGAGGACTACTTTTACACTGTCTATGCTCAAGGACCACAGCCAACAGACCCCTTAATCAGAGTGGAGATGGTGACCTGTCTAGAGACATGAACTAATCTTATAATGGCGCATATTAAAGGTGAAGAGGCTCTTAATTTTGGAAATGGATCCTCTTGCCCATGCACATTCTTTGGATGGGTCTTCAGCTTCACCCTACACATGAAGCACTTCACCTGATCAGACGCAGTCAATTTCCTTTGCATTTGGTCTGATCAGACAGGGTCCAGGTGATCGTCCTGCTGTTGTTGCATAGTGATGTGTTAAAAAAAAAAAAAAGGAAAGAAGGAAGGAAGGAAGGAAAGAAGGAAGGAAGGAAGGAAGGAAGGAAGGTAGGTCAGCCTGAACTGAAATACTTGGCATCTTGAGAAAAAGGTAAGATGAGAGCTTTAGAAATTATACTAAATCAAACTCTAGCATGAGGCAATGGTAGGACCCTTTGAGGAAGAGGGTCCCTGGGAGAACGGCAGGTCACAGACTTGGGACTCTGAGAGTTCACAACCTGTGCAGTGTTGAACAGCTCGGAGGAAAGGAAATGTGATGAAGTCCAAGCAGCAGCTCCAAACCTTTCTTCACGTGCCACACGTGACTAAGGATTACGCGTCTGTGCGGTGCACACAGAGTCACACAGAAGCACAACCAATGCTCTCTTCACCCAGGAACCGGATCACAATCAGCCTCTGACATTTCACTTTGGTTTTTGCCAGGAGTGCACTAATCCTTGCTGTGATGCACACAAGTGTATACTGAAGCCAGGATTCACTTGTTCAGAAGGACCCTGCTGTGAATCCTGTCAGGTAAAAGCCTGTGCTGGGAGAGACAGTGTTTGTTTCTGTTTTCACTTTAAGTCTATGTAGGACCAAAGAGCTCTCCAGCCAGGGATGACTGTCCCCACCACCAGTTTGTACACTGGGCCTTGCTAATTCCCCGCAGGGCTTGTTCAGGAAGGCTCAGCATTGCAGAGTGCTAGGGTCTGGGGAGGGACAAGTGAGTAAGCAGAAACAGGTGTTTTAGGAGTGAAATCACCTGCCCAACCCTATTCTTACTCCTCTGTAAATCATTGTCAAGCTCTTTAACCTCAGCTGGGAGGAAAACTGGTAACAGCAGGGAACTAAAAAAGGAAGGGATTATCCTTGGATTGCAAAGCAGTAGTGGCTAGTGGTTAGAAAAAGTCTTAGGGAAGAGGACCAGAAATCCAAATGGTTCTGCCTAAGGATTTATTGACACTTTTTCAACTCCATTGAAAAGAAATTTGTCACAATGAAAAGAAAATTGCCTTTCTCACACCTGCAAGGGGCTTCAGAATCAGCGCAAATAAATGCAGCTTGAACAGCTGAATGAGAGAATCGGGATGTGCTGTCCTCCAGCTGCGAGAGCCAGACTATTCCAATTCATATGCAGGGGTCTGAGTTGGTCTACTGGAGCAGGAGAGGAAGAAATGACAAGAGAACTCCTGCCAGTTTCTCCGTTTTAGGTCCATTCCAACTGTACCCAGGGGGAGTCTAACATCAGATTTTAAAATCACTATAATGTGATGCTTAAAATTACATGAAAATCAAGGCCTTTATAAATTACAATAATGCTCTGTGGGATGAAGAGGGAAGTTAGGTTCCAAGCTTAAAGGCATTTTTGCACATGAGAGTCTCTGTTTTTCTTCAACAGATAAAAAAGGCGGGGTCCACATGCAGACCGGCAAAAGATGAATGTGATTACCCAGAAGTATGTACTGGCCACTCACCCGAGTGTCCGAAGGACCAATTCCAAGTCAATGGTTTTCCTTGCAAGAATTCCGAAGGCTACTGCTTCATGGGGGAATGTCCCACTCGCAATGATCAGTGCTTGGAATTGTTCAGTGACGGTAAGATATGGTCACGGTGAAGGCTGACAAGGAGAATAGCCTTGTCACCTCCCTGTTACTGTCCGGTAGGTCTTGGGGGCAAGATTGGAGATAATATCGCCTAGCATCTCTTTAGCTATTACCTCCATTATTAGCTGACCTTACCTCCAGTATTAATGGACCTGCTCAGTATTGAGCTGGTGCACGTTCGCTACTATTTGTATCTCTGTCCTCCTTCCTAGAATATTCTCCTGACTCAGTAGAACAGTTTTTTGAATGATTTATTTATTTCATTCTCCTGTACCACGACAATATAGGACATGATACTGAAAGAGCAGTTGCATTAGAAAATAAAGTTTTACGATTCACTAATATCCATGCCTTTGTAATTTTACTTTCATCCTATCATTTTGTATCCCAGGAGCAAAAGAGAGCCACAATATCTGCTACAAGATGAATAAGAAAGGAAATAAATTTGGTTATTGCAAAAGCAAGGACAACACATTTGTTCCCTGTAAAGAGAAGTAAGTGTCCTGTGGTGGTGGTGGGAGCAGAAGTGTTTCATAAGAGTGTTTTGAAAACTCAGGAAGGCTGCTCTTCTGACAGCTGTTAATCTCCTGTGCTCAGAGATTAGGAAGAGAGCGGGCGGAAGAGAGAGTGTGCACCGTTGCTGGTGTGGACTGGTATTCACATACCCCGTCTACTGCCTGACAGTCATGGGTTACACAGAGGAAAGACAAACGCGGCCGGAGGGAGATTAAGATGCTCAGGAAGGAAAGGGAACCAAAGCATGCTGCCCCAGAAAGGGAATGGGGCAAACCGGACGAGAGAGGGCATAATTCAAAAAAAGGTGGGGAGGAGGAAGGAAGTGAAGGCAAGGAGGAGGAAGTTGAAATTAGGAGAGTGGGAGAATTTGGAATGATTTATTTATTTCATCCTCCTGCATCACGACACTATAGGACATGATACTGAAAGTGCAGTTGCATTAGAAAATAAGGTTTTTCGATTCGCCAATAGTCATGCCTTTGTAATTTTACTTTTACATGGACAGGGACCTGCCCCTTTCCCTTCCCCTCCCTTGCTGTCTCATGGCTGACGTGTTCAATGCAAGAAAGAATAAAAAGGAAACCTCTTCCTGCTCCTTAAAGTCATGCTAATTCAAATCACTACTAAGGAATAGTCTTCTGTAAACTTGAACGAGTGCTGATTTCTGAGGATCACAGAGGAATGTTAAAAATGCTTTTTGACACACTGTATCTACTCATTTCAGTTCCCAGGGTCAGGGCTTAGCTGTCTAATGGCTTTCTCAGCCTGTCTCGGTCCCTCTGCCCTGCTGGTGTGCTTACAGTGACCGGCCCACTTGGCTGACAGTCTAATCTCTGAAGCTCTGTTTTTGCTCCCAAGTTTGAGAATAACCCCCCATCCCTTCTCTTCAGAGATGTCAGATGTGGGAAGATATACTGTACCGGGGGACAGAAGTCATCTCTTCTTGGAGAAGACAAGATCTATCACATTAAGGCTGCAAAGCAGAACATTACTGTCAAATGTAAAACCATCTTTTTATACCACAATTCTGAGGATATTGGCCTGGTGAATACAGGAACAAAATGTGGAGATGGGATGGTAAGATTAAAACCCTTTGTTTATGAAAGCACTGTGATTAACTGCTCAAAAACATCACTGGGACCTGTAATTGGTTCTGGAGGGCCTTATATATGGGAAAGCAGGCAATTTGTCTTTATTATTGAGGAACAGAATAGCAATAATTCAGTAATGCTCTTTTATTTAATTTTAGTTATACTAAATGGTATGACATTGTTTATAAATATGCTTAATTAGTATATTTCAGTAGACATCTAATGAAGTTAGACATAAGATTTTTCTAATTAACGTAACCATAAATAGGCATACATTCATTTACTTGATTTGTCCAACCACACTTACTGGTGAAGCCTAGGTTGTCAGTAACTATGCTGGACACAGATGGTTTAAAGATGAGTGTATTTGGCAATTTCATACATTCACTTAAACAGATCATTACGATTTAACAAAAGTGCTTTCCTAGTATTGGGATCAGCAGTATGTATTTGGATCTAAAAAGAAGTGGCTGGTTGCTCATAGAACACATGTGGCCTCTTAAATTTCAGCTTTGGCTTGATGAACATTTAAAAGAATTTTTAAAATTTATTCTTTTTAGTTATACATGAGAGTAGAATGTATTTTGACATATTATACATATATGGAGTATAATTTCCCATTCTTGTGGTTGTACATGATGTGGAGTTTTACTGGTGGTGTATTCATATATGAACATAGGAAAGTGATGTCCAGTTCATGCTAATGTCTTTCCCATTCCCATCCTCCCTCCATTCCCTTCATTTCCCTTTGTCTAATCCAATGAATTTCTATTCTTCCTTCCCCCAACCTTATTTGTGTGTTAGCATTAGCCTTTGGTTTGGGGGATGTTGGCTCATTTCACTTAACATGATAGTCTCCAGTTCCATCCATTGACCAGCAAATGCCATAATTTCATTCTTCTTTATGGCTAAGTACTATTTAATTGTGTGTGTGTGTGTGTGTATATACACACACACAAAATGTGATATATATATATATATATATATATATATATATATATATATATATATATACACATATATCACATTTTCTTTATCCATTCATGTGTTGAATAGGTTGGGATGAACATTTTTAACTCAGAGAAAATGGGACCTTTTATTTATTTATTATGTATTTATTATTTGTCTTTTCACCTTTGACATTTTGAATTGATACTTAATAATTGTACATGTCTGTTGGATGCAACATCACATTTTGATACATGGGTGCAACATGTGATGATCAAACCTCAGTAGTTTGTTATCTGTCACTTCAAATGTGATTTCTTTTTGTTAGAGACATTCAAAATCTTTGTTCTGTTTTGGAATATACAGTAAGTTGCTGTGAACTGTTGTCGCCATACTGTACCATAGAACACAAGAGCTTATTACTCCTAACTGTAAACTTGTACCCATCAGCCAAACTCTTCCTGTCCCCTTCCTCTTCCCTCCCTCCCCAGCCTATGATAACCACAATTCTCCTTGTTACTTTCATAAGTAACATTTTTAACATGAGATCAACATTTTTTTATCTTCCACATATGAATGAGAACATGCAGAATTTAATCTCTTTCTCTACCCGGCCTGTTTCATTTAATATAATATCTCCCAGTTTATCTGTGCTGACATAGATGACAGGATTTCATTCTTTCTTATGGCCAAGTAATATTCCATTGGTGTATACATAAAACATTTTTTATCCATTTATCTGTTGATGGACACTTAGCTTGAGTCCATATCTTGGTGTCATGCAGGGGCTCTGACCCAGAAAAGAGATTCAGGGTGTGGCAGGTGCAAGAAGATGCAAGACATAGTTAGGATAGTAGATATGCTTTATTCATTGGTGGCTACAGCCTCCAGCCTCAGCTTCAGCCCCCAGCCAGTTCCATTTTAGTCCCATTAGCCCATTGACCCTGGAGTCTTTCCTGATGGCCTCTTTTCTATGCAGGCCAAATGAAGAAGGCACAACTGCCAACAGGTTACATAAGGGGCTGCGTGCTCTCAGGTTAATAATGTTCATGACCTTGAGTCTACACACTGAATCAATGTTTCTGCCCTCAACTAAACATAACATGGCTGGTTCTCAGCCCTGGGTACACACAAAAAAACATAACATAGCCCACTGGAAGTCTCGGCAAGGGAGCCTAACTACAGCCATTTGAGGCCTGCCACAACCCTTGGCTATTATAAATACTTCTGTAATAAACATGGGAATGCAGAAAAATCTTTAGGAAGAAATGCCCACATAATATGCAAAGGTGAAGGTGCACAGCATATTCAGATAATTGATCATTTCAACGTGGCTTGAGCTTCAGGTACAATGGCCAAAGAAACAGCTGAACAAATAAAATGAGGCCAAATTGGAAAGAGTTTATCATACCTCGGTGAAAATGCTAGAATCTGTGCTGTACACAATAGCCAGCTCTTCCAGAATATGTGGAAGGCACAGAATACTTAAAAAAAAATCAACTATTTGAAATTAAATAGTTTCTCTCCAGGGCCTGCTTCCTGTCCCTCTTGACACCATTGCCCACAAATGCTACAGTGGCATTTGCAAAAGGTAAAGGAGAAATAAAAATTGGACAGTAAAAATTCAGGATGGAAAGAAAGACAGCACAAAAATGTGATGATTTAATGGTGACTGACCCAGTCCGCGTGGGGTTTTAGCTGTCCTGTTTCCTGCTAAAGCAAGTCAATAAATATCAAAATGGTGAAAATTAAGGTAGGTGTATCAACCCCAAAAGCAGAAAAGTTAAGAAATTCAGTGAGATAAAGTGCATAAGAAGCATCAGCTCAAAGAAAATGCCAATTTTCAGTTCACTTCAGATTTGCAAAATCCGCTGAGGTGTGAAGCCAATATCTGGCATCCCTTTTACCAAGGGCAGCAGGGACTGAGATAGGGACACTCAATCCTGCAAGTGCACTGTGTCCATGCCACCAGAGTCCTGTCCCTTCATGAGAAGGTGAGGACAAATCACCAGTCCCGCTCTTGATAGTTCTTCACCAGCTCACGATGGCAGATTCATTGCTTAGCAAATGCCAGTTTATGGTGACATCCCAGTGACATCAAAGAGCTTTTCCTATTATCCCCTCCGCCCAACACTGGAATACAGCCTTTAAACCCAGTGAACTTCAAATGCAGACAAAAACCTTTGCATTCTCTTTGTGTTTATTTTTACTGGCAAATTTTAATTTCGTACAGGAAGATGGGGGAAACACGGCCCGTTCCCAGGGTCTTTTCCTTCATTACAGGACAGTATCAGGAACATAGAAAAGGAAACAAAAAGAAAAGAGGGAAGAGAGAGGAAAAAAGAAGGAGGAACTTAAGTAGTCCATTCTCTGGCACAGAAGAGCTAAGGCAAAACTGTCTTCATAGTTGTCTCCGTATTAGACCCACAGAAAGGACAAAATCAAAACAGCACAGATCTCAGTATCTTCAGTTGGGCTTGAAGTACTTAAGAAAGCTCTGTCTGCATTTTAAGCACTCGGTCCCCAGGCTACGTGATGCAGGTAGAAAGACAGGCAAAGAGAGCAAGTGGCGGGAGACACAGAAGAATTCCAAAGCCTGGAGAGAGGAAGCCCATCTGAGAAGGCAGAGATGATAGCTGCCCCCCTCACTACCCCCCACTGTGAAAGAGCTATACATTGAAAAGAAGTTCTTAAAAAGCTAAATGTTCATAATTTCATTTTACAGAAGTTTTATGCTAATAGTCAAAATAAGGAAAGAGTCCAGAGATTGCCCTTCTCCTACCAGAGAGGTACATTTGTTACAAGTGAGAAATCCAGATGAACACATAATTGTCACCCCGTATCCTTACTAGAGTTCACTCTAACGAAGGTGAAAATGCTGTACATTCTATGGATTTCAATGAATTAGTGACGACATTATGGTCTCATACAGTAGTAGTTTTGCTGTCCTAAAAATATCCCCTGTGCTCTGCCTGTTCACATCTCCCTCTCTCCCTTGCATCTGGAAACCCCGGATCTCTTTTCTTGCTCCCAGGGTTTTGACTTTCCATAATGCCACACAGCTGGTATCATGCAGTATGTAGCCCCTTCTCCCACTTAGTAATAATCAGGCAAGTCTCCTCCGTGTCCTCTCGTGGTCCTGTCTTGTCACTTAACTTGCCAGGCCCATATAACACACCTCTGTTTGGAAGTCCCTCAGTCTACTCATTGACCCCTGCTCAAGAACACCCTGGCTCTCCCCAGGTCTGGGCCCTTAGGAACAAAGCTGCTATGACCGTCCATGCACAGACCTCTGCGTGGTGCAGGCCTTCATGTCTCCAGGGTAAACACCAAGGAGAGCAACTGCCGGGTCATATGGCAAGAGCATGTGCAGTATGGCTAGAGAATACCAAGTGGCCAGCCAAGAGGCTGCGTGACTGCATTCCTAGCAGAAGGAGAGGCCCCCTCATGAGTAAGAAAACATAGACAACATACAGACATCACTGATGTTTCTGAGGGGAAAAAAAGGAAACCATTTTAGCAGCTGGGAAATAAATTTAAATTAAAAAGTTAAAAATAGGGAAATAGGATATTTAAAAAAATGTTACAAGCAAAAAAGTCTATTCAGTTGAGAAAATCCTAGTTATTTATTCTTAACATATTTAGTTTGAGTTAAACTATGCAGTCCATACAATTATTTTTAGAAATCTAGAATCTCAATTTATTCAAACTATTCAACATATGATTAACTGAGACTGATAAAATGCTCTCCACCAATAAACATGGTTTAATAAGTTTAGATCCTTACAGAAGAAATCAGAAGAAACTCAATGGAAATATAAGAAATCATTGTAAGTATAATTGTGGTGTTTTTTGGCAAATTAACATTCAAAGAATAAGGATGTAAACATTTTAATAATTAATGAGCCCATATATAACAATACTTGCATATCTAATGCTTTCATCAATCATTGATACAGGATTGTTCCATCCACCAAAGATTCTACATGTGGAATTTCACAACAGAAAACAATCATACCAATTGCAACTAAATCACAAATAGTGGGATGTATAATCTCCCATGTGATCATGGGAGGTTCCAATGTCACATATATTATAAGTCATTCTAATTTGTGTTTGCTACTTCACGTCCAGGTATGCAGCAACGGAGAATGTGTGAACACTGAAAAGGCCTACAATTCAACCAACTGCCCCTCTCAATGCGAAGAAAATTCAGTAAGAGTGGATTGTTTCTTACGTTAATGTCTTATCAGCCAGTTATTTACATAAGCCTTGTTCTTGAGCTTGTGTGTGAGTGTGCTGTTTTTTTTTTTTTAATTAAATACATATTTGGGATCCATTTTTTAATGGATTATAATTAATACAAAGAGCCAAACCAGGTATTATTACATACAGATATTGCTAGTATTATGAGTAAATGCATTATTATCAGATGGGTAATCTAGAAATCCAGTAACTTATATACATATGAAGTTTAAACCTGAGGTTTAAAATCTGACCTATCACAATGTCACATAATTAAATGACACCATTGTCAGGATTAACCTAAAGCTTTTGAGAAAAACAACCAAAAATTATTTTAAAATTCAACTCTGTTTAATTCTAGCACTTTATGTGACACTGCTTTCCTAAACTCAGTTAATCAAATCACTTATTAACATTTATTTGAATATGCATCCTATACTTTCAAGTATTGTATATTTTATGTGGAGATATATATATATATATATATATATATATATATATATATATATATGCACACACACACACACATATATGAACTGTCATGCAGCCACTTGGTAGGCAGTTTGGTATTCTCTAACCAGGCCGAACATGCTCTGCCATATGAATAGCAGTTGCTCCTCTTGGTGTGTTGGGTGTGTGTGTATGTGTATACACATGTATATCCACTGAAATGTTTAATAACATTTAAATAAACTTAGGAGATGAGTAGTATTCCTATGCCTTTGTTATAAATGGAACTAGGCACACTGGTGTGTTTTGGGGAAAGCTGGAAAGCCTAGATTTAACTCCGAATGTATGACTCCTGGGTCTCTTTTACCATTACATGGTGCTCTTTAATGGACTTAACCTTCTGCTACCACTTTTTCCCCATGCCAGTATGATCTCATTATTTCTAAGTTTAGTATCTGCTCTTTGACCACAATGGGTCTAACTCTAGCAGAGACTATTTTTTAAAGATATGAATGCTTTCTGGAAAGACATGGCATGCTGTCCTGTTCACCTGTCTGAATATGTTGATATAATTCTTTTGTGCAAAGATGTTCTACAAAGGTGTTTGCTAGTTGTATTATATTTGCTTACTTTTGTGAACATTGATTTTAGTATTCAGTTTAATTCATAGATCAATAAGTGTGTGTGCATGAGTGTGTTTGATGCAGAATTAGTATGAACCAAAATGAGGTTCAAAACATAACTTATGCCAGTCATTTGGTAAAATTATGATTTTCCAGGTGGATAGCAATGAACTTGAGTGCCAGTGTGAGGAAGGACAGATTCTCACCGACTGGGAAGAAACCTTAAACATTACCAGTGAGCATCCTAGAATATAATCTCTTACATATACCAAAAGCTGCGTAGTGAAAAAGCTGTTTCCTTATTTTCCATATTTGCTATATATTTATTATCTTCTACTGGATTTGTATGTTTTTTTTTATTTTGTATGCTTGGGAACCCAAATAGAATTTATTACAGTCACCCTTTAGAATTAATAAGTCCTCTTCTAGCTAATCTGACTCAGTTGTTCTGAAAACCCCAACACAACAAAGCCTTTTCTATAGTCAATTAATAACTAAAGACCAAAACTCTTCTTACCATTGTGGTTCTCTTAAGTGTGGTGGAATCTTAAGTTGAGTGTCAATTGGCAATACAGATGATTATTTGTGTAATGTTTTGGCTTCTTATTCTGTATAAAGTACCTGGGGGAAGGGGAATTATAAAGTACCTCAGGAAGGAAGAAGTTGGGTTTCTAACTGCTCCATTAAATGTTAATACTTCCTCGCCCTAAGATCGTCGCCCTGATCAAAACCCATGTTTCTTGACGTTGCAGATATCACGATCATGGTCATTGTGCTTGTCCTGGTGATTATTGGTGCTGGAATTGTCATGTTATTTATTCGTTACCAAAAATGTATTAAGTCGAAGCAAGTTCAGAGGTACGTCTACAGTTTTTGTGAGAGAGGGACCGTTAACAAGAGTATATATGCCTTGTGGTCTCATGAGATACTGTGGGAGGAAACTGTCTCTTACTGAAAACATGTAAGATTAGTAGGAAATCAAACTTTTACATGCTATCTCATGTCCATATGTTTATCCCTGTGGTCCCCAAGCTTTGCTGCACTCTGAAATCATCTAGGGGGCTTGGAAAAATTACAGATGTTGATTCCTTCCCAATATATTGTGATTTAATTGTTTTACAGGGCAATCCGAGCATAGCATTTAATTTTTTTTTTCTAGATGATTTAGTATTTCCAGCAGTCTTATCCCATGGCTGTGCCAATGTTCAATTTCCCTCCTGACAGCCCGCCTGGAGATACCCGGGGAGTGGAGAACAAAGGATACTTCGGTGATGAGCAGCAGATGAGGACCGAGTCAGTCCTGCCGGACATCCACCCCCTGCACGTAAGGCACTTTCACCTGCCGCAGTTAATGAACTGAGAAGCGGAGCTGACCCTAAGCTAAGTGAGGCGAGGCAGGCAAGGAAGCCATGTAACAAGGCCCCATACAGTGAGGCTGTCTGTCTGTCTGTCTGCATGTGCAGACAGCAGTAACCAAGCCACCATTTCCAAGCAGAATAAGCAGACTAAATATAATGTTTATTTTGTGTTCTAATCATGAACATAAACTATATTCTAAGTCATAAAACAAATCTCAATAAACTTAGAAGAATCAAAGTCATGCAAAAGATGTCCTCAAATAAAATATTAGAAATCAGTTACAGAAAGATATTGAAAAAATTCCTAATTAGAAATTAGATAACAAATCCTAAAGAGGTCATGCATCAACCAAAAGATAATTAGAAAATATATTAAATTAGATGAATATTAAACACTTATCAAAGTATGTGGGGAACACTGAAATTAGTCATTAGAAGAAAATTTATAGCTCTAAAGGCTTATAAAAGAAGAAAGATGTCAGATTAATGACCTAAGCCTTTATTTTAAGAAACTGGAAATAGGAAAGCAAATAAGCCCATCAAATGAAGAGAACAAGAGACTTCAGATAAGTCACCAATGAAATAGAAAACAGAAAAATAACAAAGAAAATCAATAAAACCAAGAGTTTTTTTTAAATTTTTTTTAGTTGTAGATGAGTACAATACCTTTATTTTATTTATTTATTTTTATGTGGTGCTGAGGATCGAACCCAGTGCCTCACATGTGGTAGGCAAGCGCTTTGCCACTGAGCCACAACACCAGCCTCCCCAAGAGTTGTTTATGAGAAGATCAATAATTTTATAAACTTCCAGCCACACTGTTTAGAAAAAAAAGTCAGCACCGATTATCAATATCAGGAATCAGAATCAGGAGATTCTATATGTATTAAGTAAATAATTTAAAAAGATGATAAAAAAGCATTATTTTAGTATATTGACAGATGAATGAAATTTTTAAAAATTCTGAAAGATACAAATTACCAAACCTTATGAAGAAAGAGATAATCTAAATATTCTTATATCTAATAAGAAAATTGAATCTGCAGTAAAACAGAAGACATGGTCCTCTACAGAAAAAATTTTGTGGAATCTCAATAACAGTGAATTTAGTAAGATTTCAAGATCCACAATTAGTGTACAAAAAATTATTGTGATTCCATAGATGAGCAAGAAACAATTCCAAAAACAAAGTGAAATAACAAAATAGCATAAAAATACAAAAAAAAATAATTAAGGTTAAAATGAACAAATGATGTGCAAGAAAAGCTATAAAATATTAACAAAAAAATAATTTAGTGCCATAATAAATAGAGTGAAATACATGATCATGGATCAGAACATTCACTGTTGTTGCACTGTTAGTTGTCCCATATTGATCTATAGTTTGAAAACAGCCCAATCAAAATATCAACAGAATATTTTTGTAAAACTAATTAATGAATTAACAGAATAACATGATAAGAAAATCAGTAAACATAGCCTGAGACCTAGAAATTTCTGACATGAATTCAGAAATTTATACCTCAGAGAGCATTTACAGCAATCTTCTAACAGCATAGTTTGCAAAAGTTTAAAAGAGAAGAAATCCCAAAGGTCTAGCAACAGTAAAAGGAATCCACAAATTGCAATACATGCATCAATGGGCCACTACAGGAAAAGGATAGTAGTTGATTGACTGATGTATAACACTTGAATAAATCTCTCAACCAGATTCTGAAGCTAAAGAATCCAAATCCAAAAGCAAACTGTTAGATAATAGATGATATCAAACTCAAAAACTGGCAAAGCAAACCTGTGGTATTAGAAGTCAGCATAGCAGTTACCATAGGAGAGAGAGGATCTGCAGGGGGATTTTAATTTTCTAATTTTCAAGCTACGTGGGGGCTGGTCACAGAGATGGTTCATTTGTGCAAATTCATCTACCTTTACACTTAGTATTTGTGCATTTATTTGTGTATACTTATACAAAAGCAGAACATTTGTTAAAATACCAGCCTTAGCAATGCATAAAACCTGAGAAAGAAGCTGTCAAATCCTGCAGAAGTTCCTGCAAATAGTGGCTTGTTTCACGCCCATAACAGCTGTGTTTTCCAGTGTGTTTGGCTTACTGAAAGCATCATGTGGACAGATTAAGAAGCTATGTGGTCATTCCTTTTTTAAAAACATCAATAACTGGTGTAAAAAGGAACATCGTTCCAAAAATCATACTGATGAAACAGTGAAAAGCATCTTAAAAGAGGAAAAGCCTCAAACCTTGGGGCTGTGTATCAACCGACTGTTGCTGCATGTAAATGCCAGTGAGAACACGACACCAGTACTTTAGAACTGCTGTCCAGTCCTGGTTGCTGTTGCTCTGTATACACAGATCCAGATGCTTCGGAAGCTTTGTCCAGATGCAAAGCACCTATAAGCCCTGTATCTTTATTGCCCAATGTTGAAGAACACGCTCCTCTTAACCGCTGTGAGCGCACAAGCCACATTTTGGCAGACATGCTTCTGTTGAACTTCCCTGGAGTGTTTAGAGAGGGACAGCTTTCTTTGTTATATGAAGGTTTGCTATCATCTTTATGCACGTGTATGTTTTATCATGGTAACAACAACAACAAAAAAAAAGTCTGAGTTTTAGAAAAAAATGTAAGCCTATGCTGAAAGTTTCTGGTCTGAAACTACATGAAGCTAATATCAATCTCATATGTTGCCCTCAGGTTGAAATGTTAAATGAGAAACTGTATGTTACATACAGTGTTGGGTGTTAATTATATTAATTATTCTGTGCCTCACACGCTGATACCATTACTTTGCTAATTATGGCTTCCTTAAATTCATATGTAAGTTAGGCACGCTCCCAGAGAAGGGAATCCATGATGCATAGTTATAGAAGCCAGCAAGAGATTCAAGCAAAGCTGAATCTGGGGTACCTGAACAGGTAACCCCGTGATGCATTGTTATAGAAGCCAGCCTGAGATTCAAGCAAAGCAGAATCTGGGGGCATATTTGTTACATTTCAAGACTAAAAAAAATGAAAGGCACTAAGAAGAGAAGCTTGATAAATATTTGTTGAAAACGAGGATAAATTCAATTTACTACTAAGGATGCACTGATGATAGACAGGTTTTACCATAGAGTTTGGGCCATTAGATCTCACATTCAGGGCTTTTATGTTACTTGACAAAATTATTTGAATGATGATGATTTAACTCATCTTATTTGACACCTTAGCTCCCCATTAAAGACCAGTCCTCTGCAAAATTGTGCTTGGGGGGCAGGGATCTTTGGTGTGACTTCCTTGTTATATTACTGAGGCTTGATTTTCCTCCTTTGGCATCCAGTGCCTCTCCCAGGTTTTGTTTCTCCTGGGCCACACCTTCTGGTTGTTTTAATGTCTCCTGGGGACTTAACAGAAAACACTTTGCAGAGAGTGGCCTCAGTCAAGCCCCGCTGTATTTTATTTTATTTTTTTATGTTTTTGGTACTGGGTATTGAAGCCAAGAGCATGTAACCCACTGAGCTGCATTCCAAACTCTTATTATTATTATTTTTTGAATTTTGAGACAGGGTCTCTCTAGGTTGCTGAAGCTGGCTTTGAACCTGTGATCCTCCTTCCTCAGCCTCCCAAGTTGCTGTATAGGCATACACCACCAAGCCCATCACCCATCTTTTTTAATAGGAAGTTCTGGAGATTCCAAAAGACCGTCAGGTGCTAAGGAATATATCTGGCTGTGGAGCCTCAGGATGCAGACCTACTAAGATTAGAGACTAGCAGACCCACCTGGTGCCATACACAGTATGTAAAGGAAGTCACTCTAATGTGTGTCTTGGCTTTGTAGACAGGTCTTGGGCTCTTGGATGCATGACAACCATCCAGGGAAGAATAGTGTTTTTCTGACTTTCAGTATTCCTACATTTACTCGGGATTTATCCCAGGGATGGCCGTGGGCTTGGGAAATAGTCCTGCTTTCGTGAGTACTAATTGCAGGGAAATGGTCTCTCTTTTCTCTAGCGGAGAACTGCAGAAACCTTGGAGAGCCTCCCATCCAGTTTCTCAAGTCCCCATTACATCACCCTGGTATGTCCCTGCCCTTTCTGTTGGTTGTGGTAGCCTGTGTCCATTTCATTAATCATTTTGATGCCAGGTAATCGTCTGTTGGATCTTTGAAAAGGCCAGTCTCACGGCTTTCTGATTTAGGGTAGAACAGGTCAGTCTGGTATAGAGGCAGACTTCTCAGCTGCATGGGGATTAGGGCGAGGAGAGGAGCTGGTAAATCCTGGGCAGCCCTGTCTCTGTTTAACATGTTGGCATTTAGATCATCATGAATTCTTGTCAATTAATTTTTACCATATTAACATATTGTTTATTGTGATTATTGATTTTGTTTTTATCCCTTAAATTCTGCTCCTGAGAGTAATGCCTTGCTCACCTCCCCCTAGTCCTGAGACAAAACACAGTGAGGGTTTTCAATGAGGCCTTGACCAGCTTGAGGGCTTTAGAAAGCTTCTTTAACCAAAGTGGTAAAAAAATAAAAAATAAAAAAATAAATCTCAGAGAATCACCCAAACTGCTAACTTGTACATGCAAAGTTGTTATGTTAGCTGAACAACTCTCAGAACTGGGCCTGAACACATCAAGACTCTCAAATCTATATTTCAAAATGAGCAATGGTCCTTGAGGTTTCTTTAGGGATTGATGACTGTGATCAGAATACTTTTCAGTCTATGGTTTCACAGGATCCTCAGACCATACCAAAGGATCTCAGAGGGGGCTAGACAGTATTTCTGGAGCTAAAGGGCAAATACCCTTGTATATGTCCAAATACCCGTGGAGCCAGAGCAGGCCTGTCTTTGAAGTAGGTTTGACTAGGATTCTAGTGGCAAAAGTTTCTGAATGAAGGCTCTAACTTAAAAAAAAAAAAAAAGCTTTGAGAATCTCCTTTATTTTTATTTGTTCTTTCTAGTTATACATGACAGTGTGACATTTATACTCCATGTATGTTGATAATATCATACATACATGGAGTATAACTTCCCATTGCTGTGGTTGTACATGATGTGGAGTGACACTGGTCGTGTATTCCTATATGAACATGGGAAAGTGATGTCCGATTCATTCTACTCTATTCCCCATTCCCATACCCTCTCCTTTTCCCTTCATTCCCTTTTGTTTAATCCAGTGAGCTCTTATTCTTTCCTCCCTGCCCCTTATTGTGAGCATCTGCATATCAGAGAGAACATTTGGCCTTTGTTTTGGGGAAGACTTGCTTTTTTCACTTAGCATGATAGTCTCCAGTTTCATCCATTTATCAGGGAATGCCACAATTTAATTCTTCTATATGGCTGAGTAACATTCCATTGTGTATATGCACCACATTTTCTTTATCCTTTCATCTGTGGAAAGGCTCCTAGGTTGGTTATTGTGAATTGAGCTGCCATAAACATTGATAGGGCTGCATCACTGTAGTATGCAGATTTTAGGTCCTCTGGATATTTTAAGTCCTTAGGAGTGGGGTAACTGATTCAAATGGTAGTTCCATTGCTAGTTTTCTAAGGAATCTCCATACTGCTTTCCAGAGTGCTTGCATAATCTGCAATCCCACCAGCAATGTATGAGTGGACCTTTTTCCCACATCCTCGCCAACATGTAACATTACTATACGTATTCTTGATAATTGTCATTCTGACTGGAGTGAGATGAAATCTCAGTGTAGTTTTAATTTGTGTTTCTTTAATTGCTAGAATGTTGAACATTTTTTATAAATTTGTTGGCCAATCATATTTCTCTTTTTTGAAGTGTCTATTCAGTTCTTTTACCCATTTATTGACTGAGATATTTGGTTTCTAGAGTTAAGTTTCTTGAGATTTTTATATATCCTGGAGATTAATGCTCTGTCTAAAGTGCAGGTGGCAAAGATTTTCTCCTGTTCTATAGGCTTTCTGTTCATGTTTTTAATTGTTTTGGTTTTTTTACTATGAAGATTTTTAGTTTGATTCCATCCCATTTATTGATTCTTGATTTTACTTCCTGAATAGTTGGTTCCTAAACCAACTTGATGGAAAGTTGGGCCTAAATTTTCTTCCAGTAGGCACGGGGTTTCTGTCTGAGGCCTACATCTTGATCCACTTTGAGTTTTGTGCAGGGTGAGAGATAGGGGTTCAATTTCATTCTGCTACATATGGATTTCTAGTTTTCCCGGCACCATTTGTTGAAGAGGCTATATTTTCTCTAGTGTGTGTTTATGGTGCCTTTGTCTAGTATGAGATAACTGTATTTATGTGGATTTATCTCTGTGTCTTCTCTATTCTGTTCCATTGGTCTACATGGCTGTTTTTATGCCAATACCATTTCATTTTGGTTACCATAGCTCTATAGAATAATTTAAGATCTGGTATTATGATGCCTCTTGCTTTACTTTTCTCACTAAAGAGAAAAATAGATATTCTGGGCCTCTTATTTTTCCAAATTAATTTCATGATTGCTTTTTTTTATTTCTATGAAGAATGTCACTGGAATTTTAGTAGGAAATGCATTAATCTGGGTAGCACTTTTGGTATGTGGTCACTTTGACAATATTAATTCTGCTTATCCACGCACATGGGGGAAAATCTCTTACCTAACATATTCTAGGAAAAAGCTGCAAGTTTTTACAAGGACTAATGGTTCCAATAAGACTTTATCTAACTAGTACTATCCACTCCCTCTCCATTCCATAGCAATTTACAAACTGTCTTAGATTTTTCATGGAGCAAGAGGAAGTGTTCTGTATGTGTGCGTATATGCTCATATGTGTGTGTGCCTGTGTGCTCCTATCTGGTGCAGTTCCTGATACAACGTAATTTATTGATTACAGAAATCTACAAATAAAGATCCCAAAGGAGTTGCAGATTCCAATCAAAGTGCCAAAGTGGTAGGTTCCTTTAATGGAGCACCTCCCCTTTTATTTTTCAAATGCTTTTTATCTACTTTGGATTAGGGATGCCCTCTGAACTTATCAAAAGAACAGGATGGTTCTTTTCACCAGTATGCTGAAATTTCTAATGTAGAATTCTGCCAAGCATATTTTGTGCAAGGCTATTAAACTTGACCACAAGAGCAAGCTAAAATTCAAGAGTGCCCGGGTCTTGACATATATTACAAATGACAACAACAATGTTTCTCTCTCAGACTCTTGTTGGCCAGAGTGTACATACCTACAGGTTCTCCAAGTACATTAAGGAATAATAAGAGAAAAAGACATGTTGTTCTGATGATTGCTTGACTAAAGTTTTTTTTTTCTTACTAAATAAAATATTGGCTGTAGGTGAAGGGTGATTTCACATTTGAATTACTATGTCTGTTTTGGAAAAAAATGTGAAAAAAAAGTATGATTTTGGTCAAAGAGAGAGGAAATGATTCTTGTTTGAGTTCGTTTCCAATGTGCTGAGAATTGTTTTCCTGCACACAGTGTTCTTAGAAGGAATTCCGACCAATACAGAGACCCTGTCCCTGCTGAGAGAGATACAGCAGAACATTTTCTAATGATCATTTCACTCCACAATGACAGGTCTGTAGCCTAGAGAGAAGAGTGGAGATGGTCCTTAGGGCAAGCAAACTGTTTGACATCTTGCACTGGAGAACACATTGTTTTCTTTCTTTTCTTGATTGGCTTGTCATTTTACAAGTGAACAGTTAGCCATGGCTAAGGAGATCTAAAATAAGTGTGAATCAATGTAGTACAACAGAATCCAGGAAGGCTCTCCTAGTTAGTAGATAGAAATGACTAACTGAAGTACGTGTCTGTGGATCTCCTGGAAAGCAACTTATCTCTGACCATCTGTTTCTGTTTAGACCTTGAAACTTGACATCCAGAATGGCTGCACAAGCCTGGGCGGAGGATCCGGAATATAAGATCTTCACCACCATCCCTCCATATTTGTTAAAAGTATTTCAGTACTTTTTCAGATGTTCTTTATCAACCCAGAAAACGTTTTATGAGAATTTCTTTCTGTTAAAATTTACTTGTAGAATTCACAACGTACAGCATAGGCATATGCTACAGAAAAAAAAAAAAATGTCTATGGCTTTTCGAATGCTCTTTAGCTTAGTATGAAAAGGAGAGTCTCTATGCTCCAGCATTAGCCTGCAAAATGTCAATCTGGTTACTTTTAAAAAAGCTAAAACTTGGAGGATGCTAAATTACAATCCTGAGTCTAAGAAGCAAAATTGCTCATAAGTGGTTAGTTCTTTGGGGGCATGAAAGTACTTTAATTGGAACTGGTGTCCTGATGTCCGTATCACTAAATCTGATCTAAACTGTGGCCTGCAGAAATGCCTAGGAAGGCATGGCAGGGTGGCTGGTTCCAATAGTTAATTAATTGAAGGAGGCAGAAGAATAGTTACCTTGACTGCAGGATAGTCCTCAAAATCACAGGCTGGCAAACGAGGACACGGAAGGCTCCTGGCAGTTCTAAGTTTGTAGGTTTGCCTTTCTAGAATTCCTTAAGAGGCTGATGGACAAATTGAGAGGAAACAGCATTTCAGAAAATTAGCTCCGGCCAGCTGGGAGGACATGCTCAGACCACGGGGATGGGGGGGGGGGGGGGTCAAGGTCCTTGGGATGACACAGGAGCACCCAGGGTGCAGTTTCTGTACCTGACCTGCAGATGCCAGTCAGTGTTTCAGGGTGCATGCCTCGAATTGGGTTCTCCTCCATTCTCAACTTTCTCTCTGTGAGCTGTTTGACCTATTGCAGTTGTTTTGTTCATTTGCTAAAATAAAGATCTCAAGTGCGAATTTCGCGTGAAACTTTTCTGACTCAGTGAAACAAGGCTGTGGGTGAGGATGGCTGCTGGCTGTCCTTGGCTGGTCTCTTGCTGAGTGGACTGGCTTATTTCTCCATCAGGAACAACAGTGACTCAGCACTTGGTCCCTGTCAGCTTTCCATGAGCTTTTATTGTCCTCATCAGAACCTCCACTTAAAAAAGGAATTTCCATGAATGTGTTCTGAGAGCAAGATGCCAATTTAAATATTTTATATAAAAAATTTGGGAGGGAAAAATTCTGTATCAGATGCATAGCAGCCTCATTAAAGCCCACAGTGATCCTCTGACGTCACATTTAAGGGACAGCCATGTCTTCACCTTCTCCTGAACATCACCAATGCAGAAGGGCTGTAATTTTGGTAATATCTTCTGCCCTCCATGAAAGGATCACCCTCCCAATTTTTTTTTTTTTTTTACTGTTCCCTTATGTCTTCTAGGAAATTTAATGACTGTTGTCTACTCTTCTAACTCAGGCTCCACATTCAACTAACTACTAAATTCTGATTCCATTTCCCCTCAAATGTCTTCTTCTTTCTCTAATAATGTCTGGTATCCTGTGAGTCATCCTGCCCTGCTGTTTCCTGACTAGAGAATCTTTCTAGATTTCCATCTGCTTCCCTTTTCTTCAGATAAGGGGCTTGCTGACAGGGCAGCCTCTTTTTGATTTTAGGTCATGTTCCCGAGCTTTGCCATCCTGCTCAGCCCAGGCCTCAGGGGCTTTACCAGGCTCCTTTCAAATGCTGCCTCTGCTACCTGCTTGATTTCTTAGGAGTCCTCTCCTTCCAGGACTTTGGAGAGATGAGGGAGCAGTTCTTCCAGCTTCTCCTTACTAGTTGTCCAGCTAAGACAGAGAAGTCCTGCCCCTGGTTGTGGAGCCAGTCATGACGTCATAGGAATATGCATCAGGGGTACTGCTCCATCCTTTGGGATGGGGGTATGTAAAGACTTGGAATTAAGTTATTCTGCTGACCAGATCCCATAGTCAATGTTTTAGGGGCTGAAGCTCTCCATAACCTCCACACCAGCCCCAGGGGGCTCTACTGGATGTCACCTACATACTACAGCTGCAGTCCTATATCCAGCCCCAGGATGAGAGCCCTGCAGCCCAGGACTGCTCTCCAGATGCATCCCTGACCTGATGCTCTCTGGCTCTTGTCGCCTCTGGGGAATTGAATTCTCTCCCTTGAACCCAGAGTTGCTGATAGGAATACTGCTATGCATGGACTAATCCACTCGACCTGTGGCCTAAGACCCTAAGCTTCACACCTGCCCTCGTGGAATTTTTGCTGCCCTGCCCCACACATGGACTTAGAATCCTACCTGCTGCTGGAACCTGGCTAAACCAAGCTGGTTCTCTTCTGGGATGCTGGGTTTGGGGCTGTAGTGAGTCATGGCTTCTGTGTCCGGAGCAGAGGCAGAATGATCAGGAAATGAAAAAAGCTTAAACTTGGGGCCCAACAGGTTTTAACCTATTCACCTCTTCAGCATCTTTTTTTTAATTTATTTTTATTTTATTTATTTATTTTTTTATTCGTTGTTCAAAACATTACAAAGCTCTTGACATATCATATTTCATACATTAGATTCAAGTTGGTTATGAACTCCCAATTTTACCCCAAATACAGATTGCAGAATCACATTGGTTACCTAATCTTTTTTAGCACTGCATCTTTTTTTTTTTTCTTCAGTGGGACAGATTTGAGCTGAGGAGGAGGAAACCAAATATTTTGTAAGCAAAAGTGACAAAGCTTATAAGAAACAAATGGAATTGGGTGTGGTGGCACACAGTAATCCCAATGATTTAGGAGGCTGAAGCAGGAGGATTGAAAGTTCAAGACCAGCCTCAAAAATTTAGTGAGCCTCTGGGCAACTTAGTGAGACTGTATCTCAAAACAAACAAACAGGACTTGGGGGGTAGTACAGGATAAAGCACCCCTGGGTTCAATCATCCCTATTACAAAAAAGGGGGAGGGGGCAAAGATTCATCTCTGCTAGCTTGAGTTTGTAAACCCTAAGATGAGGAGTAGATGGCCAGAGATGGAATTGAGAGACAGTGTCCTAAATCAAATCTCCCAGCTCTCCACGTACTCCTGGGTTGCATGTGCATGGGGCTGGGGACCCAAGAGAGGAGCACAAAAGATAAAATCCATGAGAGATCTGAAAACCAGCTACACCATCCCAAAGTCTGAAGTTCCACACACTCCTGGGGTTTAAGCAAAACATCTGACCAAATCACTTACCACTATACAGAGCAGGTCCAAGGGCAACTCGTAGAAAAGAAGATAAAATACGAACATGAGAATCAAAATCTGAGCAGGCATATCAGTGGCTACACACTGCAGGAAGGGGATTCCTATAGGGGCACATGAGGGGCAATAGATTTTGCAGTATAAGTCAGGCAAGTCACTTAAAAAAGAAAAATCAGAATCCATTTTTGGTAAATGATTAAATGCTGTTCTACCGACCTTGACACAATCTAGACTATATTTTGACATAAGTTCTGCCAGGAATATGACACTGGTGATCCAAAAAGAAACGAAGACCTTCACCTCCCTGTGGTGATCACCGGCCCTCACAGTACTGCATTCTCTCATCTCAATCATCTCGGACAGCCACTCTACCTTTTTCTCAAGGCATCTGTCTTGACAATGATTATAGAATTCAAAAACTCACACTGGCTATGCTAAATTTGGAAAGTTACATGCCAAAGAAAGGTATTAACTTCCTTAATACCATGCAAATGTCTGTGTACCTGACCGCCCATCAACGAAGTTCACAGACCCACCACTAGGTGGCCACATAGCTAACTAAATTTCACCTTAACTGCAAAAATGCTCAATGATTCTCTCCCTTTTCCAGACATCGCTGGGCCTTCGCAACCTTGACTTTAAATAAACTTACTAAGAAATTTGCTAAACTGCATTATTGATTATTAAGGATGAAAATATGGGTGGATTTGACTAGAAACCACTTCCTTCTCTGCCAGGAGTGTGGGTCAAATAAACAACAGGGACCACATGCTTAAATGAAAGGTAGGGGGTGGCGGCGTTATCTGCCCTGACACCTTTGAATAGATATTTTAAATGGGAGAAGCAAATGCTCTTTACTCTCGGCTCTCAAGTCCAATCTTCTTGATGTTGGAAGGCCAACACACCCAAATAACCCAATCTCTTGAAACCAAAATGGAGCTCTCGTTTTCGTTTGTTGGGTTTTTTGTTTGTTGGTTGGTTGGTTTTGCTTTGTTTTAACTGTATCATTTGTTAATTTATTTTTTCAAAGGCCAGCAAATTGACATGGCCTACTGCTGCCATGTGTGGAAACCTGAAGATCCCTCCCCAGCAACGTGTAATGGAGATAGTAAATGTCAGGGAAAGGCAGCAGACCCCGTGAATTATCTGACTTTGTGGTGGACCCTGGATGACAATCAATGCCCACCTACCAATCATTGCCAAAGAATGAGAAATATTGATGAGATCCCCAGGCGTATTGGAAGCTTCCTGATCACTTTCTAACTGAAGGCCAGCTTTTAGAAAACTCAAGGGCCTTTATCTAAGGAAGTGGCTGTCTTGTGGGCTTGACAGACTCCATTAACATCTTTCTCCAGGAAAAGCTGTAATCATGAGCTACATGTAATGGATATTGATTGCTAAGAAAAGATATATATAACTTTAAACCTCTGGGGTTTCCAGGGGCTAAAGGTATAGAAAGGGGGTCTTGAGGATTACAGGAAAGCCATCTGGACAGATACTGTATCAGAGCCATTGGGAATCTTACATAAGTGAATGCAGAAGACAGGGCACCATGACTTGCTACAGCCACCCAAGGACAAATACAACTTACTGAGCATACACTGTTGTCAGGCATCACTCTAAACTCTTCCTTTGTATTATTTCATTTAACTTAAAAACAGATCTATGAACTAACTACTATTATTATTCTCATTTTGCAGCTTGAGAAAATGAAGGTCAATGATTTGCCGAGAGAGAGAGAGAGAGAGAGAGCTGATTAAGCCTTGTAGTCAGAATCTCAAACCAGGAAGTCTGCCTGCAAAGGTCGTGCCTTTAATTATTATGTGCTGTCGGTGTAAGCACAGTTTTGATAGGGAAGAAGAATTCACAAAAACGACCACCCCCACTGCCACTGTCACCACCTCATTTAGACGTTTGCAAGTGAAATTAATGTATCTCTCCCCCACTTTCCATCTACCAAGCTTCTCAGCTCTCGCAGCCATAGTCACAGTGCTGTATGGGTTCACAGAGCAAGGAAGAGAAAGCAAAGAGAGACAGCTGTCACCCAACCGAGGTGCCAGCCACAACTGAGGTGCTGTTGTAGAAGATGGGGTGCATTTGTGAAGGGACATGAGACTCTCCAAGTCCACTCCCTGGCAGGCACTTTGCCATCCTGAAATCTTGTTTTACAGAGGCCTCAGGTTCTGAAGGATGCTTTTCCAATGGACAGGCATCGCCCTGGGCGGTGCCTTGATTCTGTTGTGTGTGCCTGGGCAGACCTGTCCCTGCTCCTCTGTGTGGTGACAGGAAGGCAACAGAAAATTGATGCTCAGCAGCCAGTGGATCAGGGGACATCAGGTGCCAGTAAGGAGGGCCCTCCGATAGAACCTTCTTCCTTGCTTTCACAAAATAAAAGATGGAGCCTATGAGCGGTCACTTTGGACACCTAGGGAAAAGGAGCGCATCTTTATAGCACATTGGTAGCCCTGAGACCCACTAAGTCATTTCACATCTGTGAAATACGCAAAGCTCTACAGCAAGGGTTATTCTAGAGAGGAGGAGACTAGGGATAAGAGGTTCTCAAACACACAGCAGGTAAAAGGAATAGCAGAAAGCTGAATGGACCCCAGACCATGGCCCTGATTTTAACCATTCCCCACTCCAGTTTTGAGCTGATTCATGTAACTGCAGAGTCACAGGGAACACTTGAGAGACCTGAATCCATATGGGAAAAGGCAGCTTTGATCTTAAAACTAGCTGGCCAGCAGAGAACAGTCAGTGGCCCTCTCTGATCCTAGTCCACGCTTTCCCCTTAAAGCAGCAAGTTATCAATTCTATTTTTCCATCTTCTCCAGGTTCATCAAAGCCATGACTAGAGGGGAGAAAAATTTCAAAGGTCAACTGTCATTCTTAATTGGACTCAAGAGAGAAATCACTGCTCACATTTTGGAAAAATATGAAAAACAATGCCCCATCCATATTTCAATATTTAATCTCACATAATCAGCATCAGCCTCTTGTTATTAAAGTTTGTGTCAATAAGCCAAGAACGGGGAATAACAATTTGAGTAACGACCTAAGCTTCCAGGTTGTTCTCTCTTCTCCCAAGGTCCTGACCCTGCAGGTTCATCAGAAAAGTGAGAAAGTGGCTCTGGACTAATTTGATTTTCTCTGAAGTGTCTCTGATGTTCTCTCTGCAGAAGGACATAGCGGGTTCAAGATAGCATTACCTGCTTCAGTTTGGGGGTGGGCTGAGAGGAGGGCGGGATAATCTCATAAGCAACCCACTGAGCAAAATCTTATGACTTGACACCCAGGCGCTGCCACGCAATTCAGAAGAGAAATAAATCAATTTCTTCCATCTCGTTAAAGCTGCCCTGGTGGTTTGACAGGTTTCGGTGCTGAAAATATCACCAGCTGGACACTGGGACACTCAATATCCCACCTTCAGAAATGAATTATCAGGTGCAAGCCCAACCAGATGCTGCCCCGGAGTTCACTTCAGTCTTCAAGTGGGAGAACACGGCTCAGTAGCACAAGGGCAGAATCAAATAACAGCATCTCCCATGTCACAAAACAGCCACTGATAACTTCTCCACGAGCAGCTCTGGGGTCTCTTCTAAAAAGAAACAAACAAAAGTAGGGACAAAAGCCAAGAAGACTTGTAGATTTTAGAGAACAAATGGTATGAAAATTTAAAATAAATAAGGAGAAGAATGCATTGACACCATTTAGGTTTTGTGTACTTATTCACTTAAGAAGGAATCCTTGTTGTATTTGGGTATTGTTCTAGGGACAGGAGAATACATACAGGTGCATAAAGCTCCACCCTAGAAACCCAAGCCCCTCCTGGAAAAGCAAACAGGCTTCTAAAGAGAGGGACACAGAGGGATGGGAGTGAAGGATATGGA